AAAACAATGTCAGGAACAACCATATCACCTTTATCCAGATTCCTCAATTGTTCAAAATTATCATTTACCAGAATCACTAGCTCAGCCTCTCCATAAACACACACACACACACACACACACACACACACAAATAAGCCCATTGTCAATGTTCTTTTTATGAACTATTTAAAAGCAAGTTGCAACAATGCTTTCCCATCACCAAAATGCTGTGTTTATTTCCCCAAACAGGAACGCGGTCCACAGAACTGTGCAACAATCATGCAACAATCATCAAAAGTAGGAAGTCAGTATTGCTATAGCACAGTTCAGACCATGGACTTCACACAAATTTTGCCATTGTCCCAGCCATGTCTGCTTTTCCTGTCCAATCTAGGTACACACATTGCATTTATTTGTCATATCTATTTAGTCTCCTCTAATATGGAAGAATTTCTCAGTCTGAAAGAGTATATGCTTTTCCCTCACCCTGGCTCTCACAACTAGACTTAGGCCACAAACTCAGGGCAGAAATATCTCAGAAGTGATGCTGTGGTCTTCTTGGTACATGGAAGCAGGAAGCATGTTGTATTTCCTAGTTTCACCACTGGTGAAGTTCACCTTGATGATCTTGTGTTGGTGTATGCCAGGCTTTTCCTTTGACAGGAACAATGCTAAGACCATGACCCTGTCAATATCCTCTTCATCATCAAACCTCCACCCTCCAGCTTCATCATCAATTGATGATTCTTTCTCAAATTAACCAATCCTATGTTCGTTGCCAAATAGAGATTTTCTATTTCTATCCTTTCCCTTACATTTATTAATTGGCATTCTACTATAAGGAAGAACATTCCCTTCCTTCTCATTTGTTAATCTATTGTAGATGATGTTTTATTCAATGGGATATAATTCACTCCTATCATTGTATATTTAATACAAGGTAATCCCATATCATAGTTCTATATCTTCAACTTTCTCTAAACTCTTTCTCATTTTTCTGGTACAAATGGTGTCTCAGGTTCATCTTGTATATATTTTTTTCCCCATCCCTGGAACCAGCCACTTTTCAAAAAAAGCTTGGATCCTTTTGGTGGGAAGAGAAACTACAACGTGGTGCTTGGTATTCACATCAATGTGTGGTGTTATCTTAGTTCATTTATAGTTGTTTACAGAATATCACAGACTGGGCAATTTATAAAGAAAGACACTTATTTCTCACAATTCTGGAGGTTGGGAAGTCCAAGGTAGAGGAGCCTGGATCTGGTGAGGGTTTTCTTGCTACATCATCCCATGTTGGAAAGTGGAAGGGTAAAAGAGAATAAGAGGCCAGCTGCAGTGGTGAAGCGATAATGCAATACTCTGCTGCAGAGACCTCTCAGAGTACACTGGGCACACGTGTGCCCATCATTGGGGTTGGCTGAGGCTGGAGGCAGCATCATGATCCTGTTGGGAGTACTCTCTCTCTCTCTCTCTCTGTCTCGCTCATGGAAAAATAAATAAATAAATAAATAAAACATAATAGACAAGCCCCATGGTGCAACAGTTAAATGTCATGCAGAGTGAGCTGGATCCAACATGGTTCAAATCCTAGCCCTGGTGATTTAAAACACATGCTGGATGCATGTGCATGCCCAGTATTTTGACTGGTTAGAGAAATGGAGGACAAAAGGATTGTAGTATGTCCAGGATCTGTTAGAGAGCAGTTTCTCTCTCTCTCCACCCCACCCCCCACCTGCTCTCTGGTGTGTGCTCACATGCCCTGTGACAAGAAGGAGAAGAAAAAAAAACTTGATAAAAATATAAATACAACAGCAAATGGGTAAAAGATTTGAACAAGCACTTCCTTTTTTTTCAACAAGTATTTTCTAAAGGAATGCACACAAATGGTCAATAAGTGGATGAAAATGCTTTCAGTATCATTAGTCACCAGGGAGATGTAAATTAAAAGCACGATGAGATACTGCTATCCACACCCACTAAAATGGCTAATATTGAAAAGACTGACAACTCCAAATGTTAATGAATACATAGTGATACATAGAAGTCCCATGTCACGATGGAATCATAAAATACAATGATCTTGGCAGTTTCTTGTAAAGCGCACCTACAAAATACAATGATCTTGGCAGTTTCTTGTAAAGTCACACCACCGTCTATCTTTGACCCAGTAATTTCATTCCTCACTCTTTATCCAAAGGAAATGACAACATGCATACACAAAGATACTTGCACATTAGTGTTCATAGTAATTTAATTCACAATAGTCACAAATTAGAAATAGCTCAGGTGTCCAGCATCAGGGGACTAAATAAACATACTGTGGATTGTTTATAAAGCATTCATTTGGGAACTGTCCCAAGATAAAAAGGAATAAATTATTGATACAAGTATCAATGTGGATGAATCTCAGATAGATACTATACTAAGTGAAAAAAGCTGGACACAAAAATGTATATACTAAGTTATTCTACTTACATGAAGTTCTAGAGCAGGCAGAGCTAATTAAAAGTGGAGGAGAGAGACCAAGTATAATGGTTGCATTGCCAGACTCCCACATAGTCAACTATGGTTCAAGTCCTGGACTGGGTGGCTTCAAACTCAGCCTGGGCGCATGTGTGTGCTTGCCCACAATCCTGAGAGGAGAATGGAGGAGAAGGGATTGTAGCATGATCACTCCCTGGGGCAGGGCGGGGGGAGGGTTATTTCTCACTTTCTGTCTCTCTGTTTCTCTCGGTCTCTTCTGTGAGCACACACACACCCTGTAGCAAAATTCTCTCCCTAAAAAAAAAAAAAAAAAAGAAAAGAAAGAAACTAAAAAAAATAGGTGGAAAATAGGTGGAGGAGAAAGGGATGGTGACCTGGAGTGGAGGTGGAGGTGGGCCAACCGTGAAGGTTGACTGAGAAGAGATATGGAGAAGCTTTCTGGAGATCTAGAAACTTTCTGGCGATCTGAACAGTTCTATATCTTAATTGGTGTGTGGGTAACATGGGTGTACTCAAGTGCCAAAATTATATAGCTAAAATGTGTGCATTTTAGTGTATATAAATTTTACCTGAAAAGAAAAATTGTAAAATAATAATAATAGTTGAGTCACAGCTAGGGAGTAGGTGGTAGTATATATGAAACAAAAATGGCAGAATGTTGGTCATTGTTCAAGCCAGATGATGTGTAGAGGAGGATTTATTATATACTCCTATTTTCTTTCTCTGTGTTTGAAATTTTCCATAATAAGTAACACAGGGGTCCTAGCCTGAGAAAATTAAGTATTAGCCAAGTAAATTTTAACTGAGGCAAAGGACATCTCTAAGTTTAAAAACAGCAGGGTAGAAACTCCAGGTGTGGCTCAGAAGTAACGTGAGAGTTCTAGATAATAGACCAGGTGGCCAAGTAGACAGAGTTGCCAAGTAGGCAAGAGAAATGGTGGAGATAAAGACAAAATTGTCCACTCAATAGCCTTGAGCTCTTTCTCCTAACCATGTCTTTACAGCCTTCTCCCCTATCCTGGATCCCCAGTTCTGACTCCAGCACTCACTTGTTACACATGCTGATGTGTGCATCCCATGCCTCAGTTTCTCCATCTATCCCACAGAGCAGTAGTCAGCTTCTCTGATGGACATGTCAGGCACTGACCTATCTCGGTTGGACATTTTTGCAATGTGCATACCACCGAGCCAACAGCAGCCTAACAACTAATAAATAGTAGTTTTCAAAGAAATTCTTTTCAAGCTGAAGGTCTTCTAGGTTCACAACACCATGAAGTGCAAGAGAACTGTCAAGAAACCATTGGACCACAACACATGGCTGTCCAGACAAACAAATAACTGGACATTTCCTCAGACCAGCATGATTTAAATTTTAGTTTGACATTTTCCTATCAGAGACAAGAAGAAATAGATTTTCACCTAAGAGAAGCATACCTCCTCCTCTGGGTTCCAGTTAAGAAATCAATTACTCTTGACTTACTAAATTAGACAGTTTCATGTTAAACCACTAAATAAAATCTAAAAATGAAGTGCCTTTCCTCTTCATGGTCAGACAACAGCTTGCTTTTTATTATTCAGTCTCTAAGCTGCTGTAGGCTTGGTGGTATGCACATTGCAAAAATATCCAACAGAGATAGGTCAGTGCTTGAGAGTTTTAAATTTTGCATCTGAGGGTTCTTTCTGTTCTGGAAAGAGTAGGCTCAATTCACCAGTTACATGTAGGACCATATGAGATACCTAAGTTAAAATGGCCCTGAGGGATTTCAGATTTAGGCAGGTCCCTGTAGTTGGGTGTCCAGCCAGCTGCCCAGTCGACCTTCTATTAATCTAGTTATGGTTGCAGCATCAGGCTGAGGGACAAGTGTCCTCCTTAACCTCTGGTTACCAAGAAGGCAGGAATAGGAGGACACCTGATTTCTTGGCAGGACTCCATTTCCTATGACTGTACTTCTTGTGTGCGGACCATGACACAGTCCCTTAGTTTGAGTCTTGTCCTTCTGTCTTGTCCAGCCCATGAACCATCTTGGCCTAGTGGAAATCTTCAAATGCTAAAGGCCCAGGTTTCAAAATCCCAGCTTAATTCCAAGAGCTGTATGATCTGCATCCATTTCTTTATCAGCTGAATGAGAATGGTAATACCTACTTGTGTGTGTTGTGCAAATTCAATGAGCTAACACATGCCAGATGATCAATGATGCTGGCTGAAGTGACACCATGCAGAAGGTGCTTCTTACATGGTGGATGCTCAGTAATTACTTATTTTGACTGAGATGAAATGAGAACAGAATCTATGCTCTTTGCCTCTGCATTTTCTCCTTCATTTACGCTCTCTATTCTTGGTTCCCTTATCTCATCTCATTTCACCAAAGTGTTCTTTCATCAGATAGAGCCCATTGTGTAACAAGTCTTGCACTTAGTGCTGGCAAAGCAGAGACAAATAAAACATTAAGATAAAATTGCACTTCTGGGTCTACACGAGGGTTGTAGGAACCCAGAAGGGGACAACCATAAATTATGTCCCCTCTTCTCCTCCATAGGAGATCATCACCTCCATCCTGCTGAGTGGGAGGATCGGGCCCAACATCCAGTTGGCTGAGTGCTATGGGCTGCGGCTGAAGCACATGAAGTCTGACGAGATCCACTGGCTGCACCCACAGATGACGGTGGGCGAGGTGCAAGACAAGTATGAATGTCTACACGTGGAAGCAGAGTGGAGGTAGGAAGAGAGTCCTGGGCTCTGAAATTGAGTGAAGATGTGTGTGGGTTACGAAGGCCCTGGAAAGTTTTCCCTTAGAGATGCCCCAACTTCTCAGAATCTTCTAGAACATCTAAGTAGCATCCTAGTCTTAGTCCTCCTGCAGCATCCAATACATGTATTTTTCCAAAGTCTAACATGGGCTCACAACATATTTCTATCCAGAGTAGGTATCTAGAGCTATTCCTAAATGGGATGCTGTTGGCACTACAGTGAAGGGAGAGCAGAAAGGTGAGGAAATGGGGAGCCCAGTTCTGGGGCTAGCCTGAAAACCTAAGACCAACAGCTGCCATGAAGAAATGGAGAGTTGGGCTATGACCACTGTTCACTGGCACACTGGCCACCCCCCATCCATGGTCCTCACACAACCATGGAGGAGGAAAAGAAGAAACAAGCCTTGAATGTATGGCCAGGAGCTTGCTGGGCAATCCCTTATATGCTGGGAGATGGGGTTGCTTCTATCCTTGGGGGGGGGTCCTACATGGAAGAGTCTGGCTGCCAGGTGTCAACCAAAAAGTGACTGTCCTTTCACAGGTATGACCTTCAAATCCGCTACTTGCCAGAAGATTTCATGGAGAGCTTAAAAGAAGACAGGACCACGCTGCTTTATTTTTACCAACAGGTATTTTTTTCCTTTCTGCTGCCAGGGTTCCATTGCACCTTAAATGCCAATTACCAGGTCATTAGAAAAGTTATGATGTGTTTTTCTATGCAAAAGTGCCTCATGACTTTTCTAACAACCCAGTATTATTTATTCTCTCCTTGGGAAACAGAACAAAGCCCAGATTTTGGAGGGCCCAGTCTAGGAAACTTATCTTGAAAACATTCCTTGATCCATAGCCAGCTGCTCCAGCCCTTCTTCTCTCTCAGCTATTTAAGTGCTGGCCCAGCGCCCTCAGCTCCTCTTGAACTTTCCTGATGGCCCAGGAGATGTGGATCATAAGGGAGGAAGAACAATTCCAAAAAAGAAGTCTATCATGCTTAACATACAGGCTCTGTAGTTTGACACACCTGGTTTCTGGCCCAACTTTGTCATTTAGTAACCTGGTATTCCCAGGGACTTCATTTATCTGCTTGAAGCTGTTTCCTCTTTTATAAAATGGAGATAATAATAATACCAACTTTATAGGATTGTTGTGAGGACCAAATGATATCATTGGCAGTGTACTGATAATTGGTTATCTAAAGAAAAAAATATCTAATTTTTAGAATTTGCCAATTCCCATGGTGTAATTACTTCCACTATGGCCTATTTCAAGCTACCAACATGATACCCACCAGCTTGCAAAAACCTTAAAATTTAATAACTGGCCCTTATGAGCTGTATGGAGCCTGTCCAACATAGTACTGAATATAATTCATGAATGTGCCTAGCACTGTCCCTGGCACAGAGTGAATTAGGAGCCAATGCAAGCTGCCATTTATTTTGTCTGGTCTTAGCTCCTTCCTTTATTCCCTCCTCGTCTGCTAGAGATCAAGTCAGACTGTTTCTGAGCCATGGATGAGTCCTAGCACTACTTATCCAGATGAATTACTGACTTGACCCAAAATGTCTCCAAAATGGGCAGTTGGGGAGGGAAATCTGGACTTCATGTCTCATGGAAGAGGGAAAGAATTTATACAAAAGCTCCTCAAAAGTCACTATGTCCCAGAGCAAGAGGGAGTCAGCCTCCTTTTATGCTCTCCATGCCTGCTCTATGTTTGCTCATGGCAGGGTGGGTGTTAGAGAGCTCAGGGACACTCCCTTGAGTACCTCTTAAGGTACTCCAGGCACCCCTCATCCCCTGAGGCCTCTGCTCAGAGAAGGGAGCAGTGAGGGCATGAGTCTGACCCTTGGCCTTTCTCCCCACCAGCTCCGCAATGACTACATGCAACGCTACGCCAGCAAGGTCAGCGAGGGCATGGCCCTGCAGCTGGGCTGTCTGGAGCTCAGGTATGTGTCTGCAAGGCCTCTCCTGGGCTGAGCTCTTGGCCAACCTGCACATCCCTGGGGGAAGAGAAGAGAAGGTATATGAGAACTGGAAAGGGGTGAGGCGCAGAGGTGTGGCCATCTGGTCTTTAGAAGAGAAGGGATAGTAGGTCAGCTCTGTCTCTGGTGTGTCTCTCCCAGCATCCTTTGCCTACCTCTGCCCAGCCTCTAGGCTGTTGGCTTTTCCCACCTAACAGTCATTTCTGCTGCTGTAAGTGACTGAACAAATGTTTCTTGAGCACCAGGTGAATCCTGAGGATATTCAAATGTAGGAATTTCTATCTGTGTTATCCAGACTGCTATATCCCCAGCTCCAATAGGCCTTCAGCACATATGTATGGAATTAGTGAATTATCCAGAGATGCCCTCTGGATAATTGGGAAGTGATAGATGAGCACAGCTAATCATACTACAGGGCAGAAAGAAATTGCTGTCAAACAGACTTCCACGTAGGAGCCATTCATCTTATTGAGAGTGTCAGGAACTAGGTATTTGAACTTATTCTGGAGGGAAGAGAAAGATTTCAGTGGGCAGGCAATGTTGGCTGGAACAAAGGGGTTGGGGAAGTGCATTCCAGGCCCAGGGATCAGAGGATAGAGAAGCATAGACTGGAGAGACAAGGGGGATCAGTGAGCTCAGAGGATTAATGTGGCTGATGGTAGAAGGCACCATCACTGGGATATCAGTCTAATGACATTATTAGAATAACATCCTTAGAATGACAGTCTAAGAAATTAGGCCTGGGGCCAGCAGGTGGCATAGTAGTTAAGGCACTGGACTCTCACATGACCAACAGCTCTTTGAGTGCCAGATGTGGTGGCTTGACACTTACACTGGGCACATGTGTGTGCTTACCCCAAATCCCAAGAGAGAATGAAGGAGAAGGGATAGTAGTGTAACCATCCCCCATGGGGAGATCATTTCTCACTTTCTCTCTCTCCGTCTCTGTCTCTCTGGTGAATGCACATGCCCTATAGTAAAAATCTCCCCTCTTGTCAAAAAAAAAAAAAAGAAAAAAGAAATTGGAAAATTAGGCCTAATTCCTGATTGTTGGAGGCCATGGCTATCTAGGACAAAGGAAGGTGATGTGGCTAAGGCTGAGCTCCAGTCTTATCTTGACCAGAGCAGCATCACCATCCACCTGTCTTTTCATCCTCCCCTCCTCTCTTCTGTAGACTTTATCTGTCTTGGCACAGTGGTTCCAACATCTAGTTGTAAATCATAATCACCTGCTTATTAAACTAGAGTCCCTTCTTCTACCATTGGAAACACAGGTTTGGCAGGTCTGGGTGGGACCTTAGCAGTATTTTTTTTAATTGCTAGAGGGCATGTGCACTAGCCACAATGAGAGAAAACACACCCCCCAGTGGGGCCCAATCAGTCTGCAACCCCCTCTTCACCATTTCTCCATTCTGTTGGGATTTGGGTCATGCATGCACATGTGCCTTGGCAGGCTTTTGAAACCACCAGGACCAGGACTCAAACTACAGTCAGCCATGTGGGTATGGCTTCCCATGAACAGTTCTTAACCACCAAACTACAAATTGGCCCAGCATATGCATTTTTTACTACCGGCCCTCCCCCACCAAAGATTTGGAAACAGCTTTATATGAGTTGATGGAAGGGTTTTTAGGACCATGGCCAGGGAAACTTTTGGGAAAGAGGTACTTCTGGTTTGCTGGTATATGGGTCCATGGAGAGTTCCAACCCTCTCTGTGATCTTAAAGTGAATGCATAGAGAGCAGAATCCTACTGCTGCTTCTGCAGAGTTGGGGACCGCTAGGTCTAATCAGAGACCATGCTGATGGGTCCCTGACTGAGAATGGGTATGCTATGGTCCCACTTTGATTTCAGTATCTGAGACTGTTGACATTTGTGACAAAATAGGTCAAGAATGGCCTCAAGGGCTCCCCATTGGTTTTTTCTCTTACCATTTGGTGATTCTCTGAATCAACAAGCAAGAAAGCACTAGAGTCCTCAATGCAGTGTAAGTCTGCAACTCCTGCAGCTGGTTGGAAGACAGCTCACCTTGTTGCCATTTGTAGTAGTCTTGGGAGCTCCATGCTGGTGAACCAGGGACAGTCTGTGACATTTATCTTACTACACATGCTCTTTGCCTCCCAAGACTATTGCAACTTCGTATAATCTGCATTGCAGTTTTCTCTCTGAAATAAGACAGTTTAAAAAGCTTACCTTTACCTTTTTATTCATGGATCTCATACCTAGGACACTAGTAGCATTAAGTTACCCGTCAAACAGTCATCACTGAATTGTAAAACAGCAGTACAGAGAAGAACCATTAGCATGCTATTACACATTCTCATGTCCCCAAATCATTCCCGAAGTGACTTAAGTGACAGGCACTACGCTAAAGTGCCAGAGGACATAAAGAGGCATCTGATGTGGCTCTTACAGATGGTCTTGTCAGGAGCAGACAGTTTAGTGGTGTCTGCTTTCCACTCAATTTAGGATTAATCCCAAGTCCATGCTTGTTTCATGAAAAAGATGTTACAGTACGACCTATGCTAGAAATCAGTACCTGCCTTGTTTGAGGAACCAAATAGCTTCACCTCCTTAACCTTACACACCCAGGGCCATTGCCCAGCCCAGCAGAGCACCAGAATACCCAGAACAAGAGTAAATGTGTAACCCAAGACTAGTTATGTAGTAACTGCTATCGAAAGGAAAAACAACCCTCAACTTGGTTGGCTTCAAAAGGCATTTTGACTCATGGTTAATTTAAATGTTAGTAATGAGTTAATATTTCTGTTGCTGTTTAGAAGAAAAGCACAACTAACTGGGTTTTGCATGGATGTTTCTTCATTTTCTTCTGTCCTTGTGGAGGATCAGTCATGGGCCTGAACTTGCCTGTAGATTCTGCTTTTTACCTGTTGGTAGCCACTCACAATTACAGGCTTGAGCTGGGAAGAACCTGCCCACCACTAGAGGGCGCTCCTCTACTGAGGGTGCAGGTGCAACTTCATTGGGTGCTGGCGGTTGGGGCAGGTGCTCTTATTGCCAGCGGCTGAGATGGTACTCAGCACTGAAAACTGCCAAGCTCTCGTCTGGGGAGAGCAGTATGTCTGATTAGTGATGGTGACTGGTTCTTCCCAACATCCCAGTGATGTTCGATTGCTCCAAATGTTGGAACCACAGAGACTGGCACATTTGAGTGACTGGGCACCTTTGTCGACGGTAATGCTAACTGATCTTCAGGGCATGAGAGAAGGGCTGTCAGGAACAGAGGGAAAGAGCTAAGTGAGCTGGACTCAGGAGGTTGGGATGACCTAAAGGTTGGCTGAGCTTCCTTTTTCCTAACAAAACATTTTTCCATTCATCAATTCCTTATTCATTCTAAAATTGCTCTTCTTTTCCATGTGTTTTAACTTCTTGGTGTTAATTTCAAATTTTATTTACCCTTCTACTTAGCTAACTGCATTTATTTCTTTAAATAATTATCTTATTTAACTTTATTTACTTATTTTTAATTTGACCAGAGAGGGACAGAATGAGAAAGAGAGAGAGAGGAAAAGTGAGAAAGCAAGCTGCCAGGTCTGGGACTCGAACAGCAGTCAGTCATGTGGGAGTCCAGTGCCCTTAACCACCACACCACCTGTCGTCCCCTATTAACTGTAATTTTTTAAATTTTACTATTTAAATATCCTTGTTTTCAGGGCCAGCAGGTGGTGAGCGGTTTAGGCGCTGGACTCCCACCCAGCAGATCATGTTTCAAGTCCCAGATCCAGGGGCTTGAAACATGCAGGGCACATGTGCATACATGCCCAAAATCCTGAGAGGGGACTGGAGGAGATGAGATTGTGGCGTGGCCATCCCCCGGGGAAACAATTTCTCACTTTCTCTCTCTCTTTCTATCTTTCCAGCAAGTGGGTGTGCCCTAAGAGCAAAAATCTCTCTAAAATAATAATAAATAGTAATAAAAATAACTATCCTTGTCTTCAGAATTCTTTCATCACAGGTCTCAAAGTTTATTCATTCATTCAACACTGATCATACACCAGGTGACTTTACAAGACCACTCTCATCTGTAGTAGGAAGCAGATCTCACCTTTGGGTGGGTCATGCATCACTGTCTAGCACACTCTTCTCACTTTCCTTTTCAGCCTAGTAAACTCTTCTTTTTTCTGGCAGCTTTGAAGACTTACTGAGCCAGGGTTACCTGTTTGCCTTCTACATGCAGAGGAAATCTGAGAGTGCTTCAGTTATGAGTGGTGTGGCCATCTGCTCTTCCACCTGAGCCAACTCAAGGAGCTTTTCATATTAACCCTTTTCTGCCCCGTGTCACTCTCTCCAGCACTGTTTGCAAAGCACTGTCCTCATGCCTAGTTCTGTTGGCCAATGGCACACTCCCATGTAGGAATGTGAAATCTTGACAAGTCCTTAAAGTCAAAGTTGGTGCTTTCTTCACCTGGCACACAGAGCCCAGTACATATTTGAATAAATAGATCACTCTGAAAGAACTAAAGAATTCTTCTGAATTCTGTTAGAATTAAATAGTTACGCACAGCAAGACAACTTACTCAGTTATCTACAAGTACATTTATAACTCACTCCGCCCAGTGGGAATTGCAAACGGCCACATTGCCCATACTTGACACTGCCCAAGGATGCTCTGAAGTTTTCGTTGAACATGGAAGGTAAACAGGTAACACTGGCTCAGAAAACACGAAAGCTGCCATGATTGATGTTGAGGAACTTTGAAATTTGAACTGCAGGCACTCTTCAGGTAGAGATCAGAGGAGGGGGATCTTCCATTCAGGTAAATCCTCTACCTGAATGTCATCCTGCCTACCAGTCTTCCGATTTCCAAGTCTGTCACTCTATCTTTAGTCAGACGGAATAGTTCTTTTCAGGAAGCATCTCCTGTCCTACCTCTCCATCAATACAGAGAAGTGAAGTTAGGAAAGAGCCACTCTTTCTACTTTTCCACATTCTCTCCTGGGAAAAAATTCCCCAAATGTTCCAACCTCAGCACTGCTGACAAGTTGGACCAGATAATTGTTCACTGTGGGGATTGTGCATGGAAGGCTGTTTGTCAGCATCTCTGGTCTCTCCTTACTATTGTAGATGCTGGTAACACCGCCCTTCCCTCCAACAGCCAAAACTATCTCCAGACATTGCCAAATGTTTTAGGGAGGTGGGTGCAACATTGTTCTTGGCTGAGAGCCACTGAATGAGAGCATTGGAAGCCCATATATTTGGACCACATTTGTTAGGCCCTTGAACAATCACCTTTTCTGAATTATGCTTTAATGCTACGCTGCTGGTATTTATCAAAATTGCAACAAGAGGCATGAAGTTGGCTTATTTTTGGTAAAATGAATATGCTGAATATTCATCTTCTTTTCATTTGTGGCTCTTTAAATTTTTTTAATTTAAGTAATGAAATGCCAGTTTTATGGTAAATGTTTTCACTGGATAGATTATGCACTAGATGAGGTCTACTATCCAAGCAGCCAAGACAATGAAAACCCAAACCTACACTACATGAGAACATCCGAGTACTGCTGTGCGTAGTAATCAAATTTACTTTATCTCATTCCCTGATTTCCTTCTAGCCCTATTTTATTTAACATTTTTCTGTTGTTATTTTTGTTTTTGTTTTGTTTTCTTTTTTTACAGTTCTGCTCTAGGGTGCATGCTTTTGCCTTTTGGGGGGGCGGGCAGGGTGTCCATTCTGCAATCTCTTCTCCTCCATTCTCCCCTCAGGATTTTGGGCATGGATGTTCATACACCTGGCGTGTTTTTTGAGTCGCCAGGTCTGGGACTCAAACCACATAGTCAACCATGTGGGATCTAGTTGCCTTAACCTCCACACCACTGGCTGCCCTTTAACATGTTTTAACACTATTTATCTTTGCATCTTTTTGTGGAAGAATATATAATAGGAAATTATTTCAGTATTGTAAACTAGAATTCAGTAGTATTTACTGAGCCATCAGTAAATTATTACTTTCTAATGCAATCATTTAAACGTACTCATTCTTGATTAGATAAGAAAAATTTTATATGAGACTTTTAATCTTTGTTTTCCCTCCATTCTAATCTATGTCATTTTAAACAAACTCAATTTGCCTTAGGTAGAAAGGCTTATCTAATTTTGCCTTTTTCATGAGATCTTCATTCTCTTTGTTCTTATCCTTTTTTTGCTATAGGACGTGTGTGATTGCAAGAGAGAAAGAGAGACAGAGAGACAGAAAGTGAGAAATTACCTCCCAGGGGGGATGACCACACTGCAATCCCTTCTCCTCCATTCTTCTCTCAGGATCTTGGACACTCAAACATGTGCCCTGTGTGAGTTTTAGGCCACAGGTCCGGGACTCAAACTGTGGTCGACTACGTGGGAGTCCAGCGACATAGCCATTATGCCATCTTCTGGTCCCCTTATTCTTATTTGTATCATGTTTTCTCATCCAAGTGAAACAGTTGAAACTGAGGATGATGACCTTGTGTCTGTGCATTGAGGATGAGGGAGCCCTGAAGAGGAGAGACAGAGGAAGGTCATGATAAAACTGCTTTCAAATATATATCTAGGAGAGAGATTAAATTGAGTCCATAGTTCCAAGGGACCAATAAGAGGAAGGAATAGGGAAAAAGGACTTTGTACCAAGTAAATGTGTAGTGATGGAGCAGGCCACTTTAACAGGTAATGAGTCCAGAGATTTACATTATAATGGTTTGGCTAAACACACTGCCTTAATTTTTTCTTCAAGTAAAGCAGGTAGTACTTATTCATTGTGGGATATCAGGACTTTGTAGGAAAGGGGGAAAAGTAAAACTCTTAAAATTACCTGGAGTTCAATTAACCAGGGATAGATCTATTCTGATTTTTTCTACTGTATTCATTTTTCTAAAATTGAGACAATGTGTGTTAAGAGAGTACTTATTTTGCTTGACAATACATTAAAAAATACAACTTATTAAGAATAATTAAGGGGACCATCAGTTGGCGTAATGGTTACATCACTGGACACCCACATAGTCAACCATGGTTCAAATCACGGACCCAGGGACTTAAAACTCATGCCTGGCGTGTGTGCATGTGTTCCCAAAATACTCAAGAGGAAAACGGAGGATAAGGGATTATGGTGTGGCCATCCTCCCTGAGGGGTGATTTCTGGCTTCTGTCTCTCTGTCTCTGCCTCTTTGGCGAGTGCATATGCCCTATAGAAATATATATATATATATATATATATATATATATATATATATATATATATAGAGAGAGAGAGAGAGAGAGAGAGAGAAAACACTTCCTGTTTTGGTTTTATTGGGGGATTTGTTCCATGATTTCATGCTTTAAATATTCTTCTTGATGCAATGATTTGGAAATAATGTTCTAGGGTTTTTTCCTAGTCTTAAAATGGCCTTATTGCTTATATTTATCCTACAATCCATGTAGAACAAATATTCTAGCTAAATAAAGTGTGAGATAAGGTTCTTATTTTACAGACACAGTGAACTGTCTAAATTCATTGCTTTTGAATCATAAGCAATGTTACTTGCCTCTCTTGACTCACAGTTACTAGTAGCACAAAACTGTTTCTAGATGTCTATAACAACAGTTGGGATCAAAGGAGCACTGCATTACTTTAATAAGGTCAAGAATATGACAATACCCGCAATAGTCAATTAAATTACTAGACACAGTGACTCAAACTGGGAAGGGAAGCTGGTACACATGGACACATTGGCTATTTGGTCTCAGCTTAAACCATGGCTGCCAATAAATGATACATGAAAATCTTCAACAAAACATACATTTTTAGGGGGAGTAGGACTTAAAGAATATGTGTAAAATACTCATTAATATCACCTCTGGGGATAGGATTATGGATTATTTTTATTTTCTTCTGTTCTTTACGTTCGAAGGTGTTTGTACTACATTGAATAACTATTTAAGTGAATGCACACACATACACACATATAATGTTTTGGAGGTAGCAGATGAAAGATATATTCCCACAAAGAGACTTCAGAACCTGAAGGTAGAGGTGGGTGTTCTTGGGCTGATAGCTTGAGCATTGGCTACCTTGAGTCATTGGTGTTTAGAGGCCACAGACAGAGCAACCATCTTCTTCAAGCACAACTACACAGACATAGAGCTGGATCTCCCAGAGTGTGAGGCTGGAGACTTTTCTAGGAATGAAATTTGTGAGGTTTTCTTTTTTTCCACAGATACCTAAGTATCAACTTTTACTAGTGTTCTAACTTTCTGTCTGTCAGCAGTGGCTCACATCTGGCAGGTCGTGTCTAGGTCAACATGTAGGCATTGGGTAACTCAGCTCTGGGATGGCCTTGTTCTCTAGCAGTCAGCCTTCTCTCCATGACTTTCTCTCTCCAGGCGGTTTTTCAAGGACATGCCCCACAATGCACTTGACAAAAAATCCAACTTCGAGCTCCTCGAGTAAGTGTTGAGATTGGCCCCTGCTTCTTCTTCCTTTTTTTCCTCCGGTACCTTGCTTTTTGTACTCAGCCCCTCCTCCACTAGTCCCCTGACCAGAGATGGGTAGATCCATTTCCCTGGTCCCTAATTGGCTAGAATCCTGGAGTGAGGGTGAAAGGGAGTTACATGCTACTTTTTTCTCTTCTTCAGAAAGGAAGTGGGTCTGGACCTGTTTTTCCCAAAGCAGATGCAAGAGAACTTAAAGGTGAGAAATCCCCTAGGGTTCCAAATAGACCCCCTTTGCACTGGTCCCTAGGACTAGAGCTAAAGGGACTTGTCTGGGGATAGGCAAAGAAGCCTGGGCACTTGCGTTGCTTTGGGCCATCTGCATGTAGGACACTTAATAACAGTCAGAGGGCCCTTCCTGTGGCTGGGAACAGGGCTCCAGCTCATTGGTGCTATGGCCTGAGCTCTCTTGCCTCCCTCACAGAGTGATGGTGAGCATCCCATGCCCTTGACAATGGGCGTGTGTTTTAGGTGATAGATCGATTGCAGTTATGGTCACAGTAAAGGCCCTGGGGACCACCCACAGCAATGAGCAGCCTTTCAGTGAGACCCCGAGGGAAGGACTCAAAGATCAGAGGAGCAGGCTTCACTCACCATTGCCCATCTCCTCCCCCAGCCCAAGCAGTTCCGGAAGATGATCCAGCAGACGTTCCAGCAGTACGCCTCTCTCAGGGAGGAGGAATGTGTCATGAAGTTCTTCAACACCCTTGCAGGCTTTGCCAATATCGACCAAGAGACCTATCGCTGTGAACTCATTGTAATGACCTGTTGTTTCTATCTTCTCCCTGACAATTCCGAGCCAAGAGATCAATTTGAGGGATAAGGGAAGGGTTGTGCTCACTGTAGGGTCTTAAGCACCTGATCTGCTGCAGTGGAACTAAGGTTAATCCAACTGCTGGCAGCAGGGAACTGACAACTCCAGAAGGCGGGCAGAGTGGCATATCATTGAGAGGGGTCATCTCTATAGCTCAGGTTTGGGGAAGGACAATCTGGATGGCCCAAGAGAGAGTGGCCTGAGTCTGGCTTAGTGAGCTTTACTTCAAATTTCTAAAATACAGAGTAGGCAGAACTGGACAACAGTCTCCTCTCTCCTTTTATTCCAGCAAGGATGGAACATTACCGTGGACCTGGTCATTGGCCCTAAAGGCATCCGCCAGCTGACAACTCAAGATGCAAAGGTATAGAGAGGTTGCCGGCCCAGGCAGAAAGTTCTTCCCTTTTATCCTGCCTCCCACCCTGTCTGTACATCCATTATTCTCACCCCATTACTAGAGCAGAGACCTTATAAGATCATGCCCTTAATATGAGTAGCTATAGAGAGTATTAGGGGAAAGCACATGGAGTAGATGGTGTTATTTCCTCGTGTACAGAGGTGGGGATAGGAAGGTGGGGGAGAACGATTTTATTATTACTCTCTTGGCTCAGATAAAAGAGTTGCCCTTTCATCTTATAATTATTTTTTTAAATTTGCCAGAGGGCATGTCGTTTCTCCAGAGAGAGAGAGAAAGAGAAGAAAACTGAGAAAGTACCCCCCATGAGGGATAGCTATGCCACAATCTCTTTTGCATTTCTCCTTCCATGATTTTGGACACACACACACACACACACACACGCACATGTGCCCTGCATGGTTTTCAAGGCTCCGGGTCTGGAACTCAAATTATGCAGTCAGCCAAGTGGGATCCAGCTGCCTTCACCAACTGGCCACAAACTGGCCCAGAATTTGCTCTTTCAATGACAGATTGAAGCTATGACTCCTCTGGAGTCAGGAGATGGGTCCAGTTCTTGCTCTGTCACCAACTTGCGTATGACTTGGGCAAGTCTTGGCTTTCTCCAGTCCTTATTTTCTCTTCTGCAAAATGAGTGACTTGGACTAGATCAATTTTTTTTCCCTCAGTTTTTGCTACAGGGCATGTGCACTTGCCAGAGAGAGAGAGAGAAAGTAAGAAATTACTCCCCAGGGGAATGGCCATACCACAATCCTGTCTCCTTCATTTTCCTCTTGGGATTTTGGGTATGCACACACATGCACCTGGAGTGTCTTTTTTTTTTTTTTTTTTCCTAAGCTGCCAGGCCTGGAACTTGAACCACAAAATTGGACATGTGAGATCCTGCTGCCTTAACCATCACCCTACTGGCTGGCCCAAGGAGTAGATGATCTTTTTAGACTTAATAGTCTTTGATTCTCTCCTTGTACCCTAGGTAGAGTCCCAATTTCCCCCAGTCCTCCACCCCCATACTGACCAATCTCAAGGTCTGGTCCTGGCTATAGAATGGTCTGAGAGTCCCTTCCTTTCCCACAGCCTACCTGTCTGGCCGAGTTCAAGCAGATCAAGTCCATCAGGTGCCTCCCGCTCGAAGAGGGTCAGGCAGTGCTGCAGTTGGGCATTGAGGGTGCCCCCCAGGTAAGCGTCCTGGGTACCTGGAAGCTCTGCAAGGGTAAAAACCATAGGGAGGAGGTTCTGCTCAGGCCCTCTAGCCAGAGTGGGCCACAGGGATTCCTGGCTTCTGGGATATCAGATAAGAACATTACACCTGGTGCTTAGCCAAGGTACTGGAATAAGGATAAATGATAGGGAAAATCAGGAAACAATGTTATCGTTCTGTAAAATATACAAAAAGAAGCTAGGAAAGTTTTTAGAGTAAGTCAAGATGACCAAAAATCAGGTACAATTCAGAGACCTAAATTGTTTTTAAGAGTTGATTTTTTTTAAGAATTATTTTCTATTTATTTATTTATTTATTTATTTATTTATTTATTTATTTATTTATTTAAATTTGACCATAGAGGGACAGTGTGTGTGTGTGTGTGTGTGTGTGTGTGTGTGTGTGTTTTGAGAGAGAGAGAGAGAAAGTGAGAAAGCAAGCCTCCAGGTCCGGGACTCGAAACTCAGTCAGCCATGTGGGAGTCCAGCACTCTTAACCACCATGCCACCTGCCGGCCCCCAGAGGCCTAACTTTTACAGAGTGAATAATGACTCAGAAATCAAGATCCCAGAAGCTTTTTGCAGGTGGGAGAAAAAGAGACCTCAGTCTGTAGAGCATTTGTTTATCCCTCCTTTCATCTGTCCTTGCCCCATTCCCTCTCTCTTTCCTTTTCTGTTTCTGCTTTTACACACTGAGCACTACTAGGGACAAGGCATTGTGCTGCTCAGAATAATGAAGTGAGACCAAGAACTGTCCTCAGAGAGCTGAAGGTGTCCAGCAGAGAGAGAGGAAAGGAGCGCCCTCTGGTGGCCACAGGGGATGCGAACAGAGCCCAAGAGGAGGAGTGGAGGGGGATATAGGCAGGAGCTAGGGGGTGCAGGGGTGGCCAAGGGTCCTGTAGTCTCTTCTGCCACCCTGGGTATGGACTCAAACCAAGGCCTTGTGTCTCATCCTTGGTTGGTCTCTTCTCTGCAGTCCTTGTCCATCAAAACCTCATCTCTGGCAGAGGCTGAGAACATGGCTGACCTCATAGATGGTTACTGCCGGCTGCAGGGGGAGCACAAAGACTCGCTCATCATCCATCCTAAGAAAGGTGGGTTTCCACTTAAAGGCCGAGAGGCTGAGCTATGGATGGCAACACAGCTGAGGCAAGCCCAGAGGCCAAGTGGGAGAAGACGTGTTCACACAGCCCTGCTCGTGCTTCCTGGAGGCCATGTCTGAGTTGTCAGTATAGGCCCTGGCCTGAACCATTCACCCTGGCCTTGCTGGTCAAGGGCAGCACAGAGGCCAGCTTCTGGAGAAGGGATGTTTGCAGCCCCGGGATGTTCAAAGCCATCGCTAAAAGTGGCTAGTCCCTCCTGGGTGTGGAATGAGGAAGCAGGGATTCAGCTGGGACATGTGGAGGCTGGCAGGAGGAAGCTCAGCCATGGTTCTAATTCTGGCCCAAGGTTTTCCTAGTTTCCACACTGATGCTAAGAGAGAACAGAATGGTGGGAGGGGACTCCTCCATAGGAGCAGTTTGGAGGTCAACCCTCCAAGCCCCTGCGTTCTCTGGTTCCAATGTCTTCCTCCTCCTCTCTCCACAGATGGTGAGAAGCGGAACAGCCTGCCCCAGATCCCCATGCTGTGAGTATACCAGGAAGACAGGAGACAGGTCCTGAGCTCAGCCTCTGTCTGCCAAGAGAAGGAAGAACAACCAGAGCCCCCACCTCCACAGTTTTTGGCTTCCAGGTCCCAGGGGAACACTGGAATCCCAGCATTTCACAAGGGTGATATTTCCCTGTCAGTAAATTCTTGCAGGAAATATTCTCAATCCCTGAGACCACTTTGCATTATCTTAGGGGGATCTCTGTACCCTCCGTTACAGGACCTGGCAGCCTGGGCTGTGCTCCTAGGTTTCTGGCAGCTGGGAGGGGGCACTTCTTCAGATAAGGCATGTAGGAAAGGGTAGTCTGAGGCTGTCTGGGAGAATATTGCAGGACTTTGAGCTCACCTGGCTCCTGCACTCTCGCCTCCTCCTACAGAAACCTGGAGGCTCGGAGGTCTCACCTCTCAGAAAGCTGCAGCATAGGTAAGCCTGCCCACTACACCCTCTGCCTACGCTCTGCCTCCCTTCTTTCTGCTGGCTCTGTCTGTTCCAACATTACCAAAGATTTCCTCAAAATTACCCAAAAATTACCTTCTTCAATCATGACTTAGAAATATTATTCATTGTAATAGTTAGTGTGTACTGAGTAGGTAGTACATGGGAGCATGTTTATCTTAGTCAGCTCGAACAAGCATAATGAACTATCATAGACTAGGTGGCTTTAAAACAGACTTATATTTCACAGTTCTGGAGGCCAGGAAGTCCAAGATCAATGTGTGGGCAGATTCTGGGTCTGGCCGGATTCCTGGTTTGCAGATGGCTCTTCGCACTGTGTGTTCACATGTAAAGAGAGCTCTGGTCTCTCTTATGTCTCTTCTTATAAGGACACTAATGGTATCATGGGGGCTCTACCCTCACGAACTAGTCACTCCCAAAGGCCCTACCTCCTAATACCATCACATGGGAAGTAAGGGCTTCCTCATATGAGTCGTGGGGAAATACAAACATTCAGCCCATGATAGCATGAAGCATGTAACAGATGCTGTTTTATTTCATCTTTATAACATTGCCCAGAAACAATCATTTCACAGAAAGAAAAACTGAGTTACAGGAGATTAACCAATTTGTCCTAAATCATGTAACTGGAAGCAGTGAGCGGGAACTCTAGCCCGAGTATTGTATGTCTGTGGCCACTCCAAAACCTGGACCAGGAGTCCGGGATTCACCTGGCTGCTTCCTTGGACCCCATTTGGCTCTGTGGGCTTCCAGGTGGGAGACACATGCCTGATTCCTGGCAGTGCCCTTGGAGGGCATCTTTTTCATGAGATGGGCCTCTTCTGTTGTTCTAGAGTCAGATATCTATGCAGAGATCCCTGACGAGACCCTGCGAAGGCCTGGAGGTAGGTCCTTGACCCCACTGTGGTGGCCGCAGTCAGGGCCCTATGAAGTTACATCATGAGGACTCATGTGACATGACAGGGAACGGTCTTTCCTTCCTTCACCCTCCCTAGTGTATGGCTCAGACAGGGCAGACCTGAGGCCCTTTGATGGGAAGGCTGAGATGGCTCTTTCCCCTCATATTGACTGCCCTTTTTTGTGCCTATGGAGCTGAGTGGGGATTCTAAGAACATGGACCTGGGACCCAGCCTTTGTTGGGAACAGGATATTGGCTCTTCCTTGGGTCTGAGACAGTGGAACCTTCTAGACCCCCTTCCCTAGCTCAGGCCCTGGGTCTTGGCTGTGGTGCTGTTAGGGGGGTCCATGGAGACCTGCAGACTCTCAGGTTTCTAGGAATACCAGCTGGTCTCTATGCTCTGCAACTTTTTGCTTTCTCCATCTGTGCAGGTCCACAGTATGGTGTCGCTCGTGAAGATGTGGTTCTGAATCGTATTCTTGGAGAAGGCTTTTTTGGGGAAGTCTACGAAGGCATTTACACAAATCATGTGAGTCCCTGACTCTTCCTTGGTACTCACCTTGTGCTCACCTGTAGAGTGAGGCATGGTGGATACTGGTCCCCTTGGCATGGCTGTATTCCTGAAATACCCAGGAACTGATGGAGGCGGATTCCCTCCCTAGAAGGGGAGTAAAATACTAGGGTTTGTGATAGAGGTATGACCTGAGAAGGGTCACTGACTTGGTGGGTAAATATAAAGGGAGAGTCAGGATATATACCCAGCTCTAAGGAAAGGATGGGCAGGATCCCAGGCCACCACAGATGGGGTGACCAGCTTGCTTCTGTGGTCATGCTTCTGGCAGGCCTGGGAGAGAGGCCAAGCTGGAAGAAAAGGGCAAAAAGAATTTAAAACCCAATGACAATGAGAGATAGGCCTGGCCCTTGCATCCAATGACGGCTTTCCCTGTGCTCTGCCACCCTCCACTGATGCTGGGCAGATCCCACAGCCCTTGGTCTCAGGGTTCTCATCTGGATAGCCAAGGGCTTATGCTATTTGCTCTTTAAAGGCCTTTCCAGTTCTAACATAGCCTGATTAAGAAGAAAGGGAGCACAAGAGGAGAGGAGATGAGGGGAAAAGAGAAGGAAACACAGAGAAGAAAGGATGGAGATGGGCCATGCAGAGCCCCAGATCCCCCTGCCTCCTTGGCTGACAGCGAAGTCGTGGGAGGCCATGATGAGGCAGGGGAGAGGACTTGCTCATGTACACCTGAACACACTCTTGTTGCAGAAAGGGGAGAAAATCAATGTAGCCGTCAAGACCTGCAAGAAAGACTGCACTCTTGACAACAAGGAGAAGTTCATGAGCGAGGCAGGTAGGTATCCCCTGGGGAGGGACCAGGAGACCACCAAGATGGGAGGGGGCCCAGAGCCTGGGAAGGATTGAGTAGTGCCAGGACTCACAGAGGAAGAGGGAATTACTCCCCAGTTCTGCCGGTTGGTACAGAAAAGCGTTTCACCTCTCAGAGCTTTCAGTGCCTTTGGCCCATCTCTCCTGCTCCCCCTCCTGCAGTGATCATGAAGAATCTCGACCACCCACACATCGTGAAGCTGATCGGCATCATTGAAGAGGAGCCCACCTGGATCATCATGGAATTGTACCCCTATGGGGAGGTGAGCTGGAGGTGACAGAAGGGAAAGCCTGCGATGACAGTGAGGCCATGGTTGGGCAGGAGTTCTGGATGGGAGGCATTTAGGGCAAGGGACCCTTGTTCCCAGTTTCCTGCTTTCTATAGTCAGAGAAACAGCATAGAGGCCCTGTTTGTAGAGGAAAGGGTTGGAACATCTTGCCAGCTTTGAGTGTATCCTCCACCTCCCCCAGGGAAGGTCAGTAGTTGTCGGTGACCTGGCCCCTGGCTCTGTACTGGGGCTGCACCAGGGTTCCTGATCACACCTACTCCTTTCTGCAGCTGGGCCACTACCTGGAACGGAACAAGAACTCCCTGAAGGTGCTCACCCTGGTCCTGTACTCACTGCAGATATGCAAAGCCATGGCTTACCTGGAGAGCATCAACTGTGTGCACAGGTAGGGGCAGGCGAGGGGAAAGTGCAGTGGGGCCATGTGGCAGCCAGGCTCTTTTACCTGATCCATGAGAAGTGTGGGTGAAACAGGGCTTGGAAGAGTGTACACACCAGGGTTGGAGCTGTAGCTTTAGTCCTGCCTGTCCCAGTGACTGAGAGTACTTGAGCAACCTCTGTGTGCACATTTTCTCATCTTTAACATCCAAACACCATATGTACTTAGCAGAATTGTTATTTATTTATTTGTTTTGTTTGTTTGTTTGTTTTAGATTTTTGCTATAGGATGTGAGTGCTTGCCAGAGAGACAGAGAGAACCAGAAAGCAAGAAATCACCCCCCAGGGGATGGCCATGCCCCAATCCCTTCTCCTCCATTTTCCTCTTGGGATTTTGGTCACACACACATGCGCACCTGGCATGTGTTTAAGACACTGGGTCCAGGACTCAAAACCCAGTCAATTTGATGGGAGTCCAGAGATATAAACATTATGCCATCTGCTGGTCCCCTTGGCAGGATTGTTAGTAAGAGCAAAGCCAAAGTCTGAGGTGTCTACCTGTAGTTCTATACCTTCTAGTTCCTACCCGGCCAGTGCCAAGAGGTAGCTTCCCACCTTGCTCAGAGGTTGCCTTCTCCAGCTCGCCCACATGGTGGCACATGGCCCAGGAAGAAAGGACTGGGCCACAACAGTGCCAGAAAGATCTGGGGTCCAGGCCCATCACTCCTGAGCTGCCAAGTACAATCCTCCCTGTAGCTGTGATGTTGGCCCCACCTCCACCTTGCTTTGCTCCTGTTCTCCACGAAGAGGTTCCTGCCCTGGAAACATGGCCCCCAGGAGAAGACAGCAGTGGGCACCAAGCCCACCACTGACACTATTGGCTATGCGGTCTTATGCCTAATTCTGTGTGAAGTCATGTTAGGAGATATAAATATGCATTCATTCATTCATTCATTCATCAAATGTTATGGAACTCCTACTCAATGACAGGCACTGTCCTGAGCTCAGGGACAAAGTCATGCTTGATAACAAAAATCCTTTTCCTTGTGAAGTTTATGTTCTAGCATGAAGGTCAAATGTGCAACATGGACACACATGGGCTAAGGTTTAGGGTAATAGGTTTGTTTTCTGTGTCAGTTAGTGCAAAGTCACCATGCTTTTAAGTCATCTTCCCAAGAGCAAAAGAAAGAACTGGGGAGTGGAACCTAGCTCTGAGAAGCAAGCAGGCAAACTAGTTTGGAGTTGGGGGTGATGCCAAGAGCATGAGGTAAACAAAGTCAGAGCTCAGCTGTACAGTTAGCTACCCGAGCTGAAGCCTCTTTTTCTCCAGTAACCTTCTGGGTAGGTTCCTTCTGCTCCCTGCCCCAGGTCTCCTCACCTGCACCAGGGGGCTCTGTGGGGCTGTCATGATTCAGGGTATGTAAAGCACCCAAATGATCCTGTGTCCTACATCTCCCATTCAGGTTAGCTCTAATGAAGCCTAAACAGTCCTGTGGAAATGCAGAACAGGAGATAATAACCATGACGGGGAAGTCGGTGGGGTTCATCCTTAAAGAATCAGCAGGTGACAACCTCCACAGCAGAGAGGGCATTGTAGGCACCAGGACAGGATTGATGGTGCAAGTACTGGGAACAGTGTTAGACACATGTGAGAAGGGATGATGGGAGACCACAGTGACATGGCAGAAGAGACAAAGGGCCTATGTGTGCCAGGGTAGGGAGAGGGACCAGTCATGCTCCCTCTTGAGCTGTGGGGTTAGTGACTGGCAGAAGCTGCCTGATTCTGTTCCAGAGGCTTAGACCTTGGCTAGCACTCTTGACCTTTGTCTCTCTGTCCATCTATCTGTCTGTCTGTCTGCCTATGTCTCTGAAGTGCTCCTACTTCTGCAGATGGCAGGGCCTCACCTTGGTCTTCACACCTTTCTTCCAGGGACATCGCTGTCAGGAACATCCTGGTGGCCTCTCCTGAGTGTGTGAAGCTGGGAGACTTCGGCCTTTCCCGGTACATTGAGGATGAGGAATATTACAAAGGTGAGGGGGTCTTTATGACCACTTTCCATGCCTTCAGAGGAGCCAGTGAAGCTAAAAAGAAGAATCCCAGGCCCAGGGTCTCTGTAAAGTAGACTATATTTCTGGATAATTCTGTATCTTTCTTCCCTAATTCCTGTAAACCCCCTTTGCTCTCCCAAAGCCTCCGTGACTCGGCTTCCCATCAAGTGGATGTCTCCTGAGTCCATTAACTTCCGCCGCTTCACAACAGCCAGTGATGTCTGGATGTTTGGTGAGTGGCTCTTTGGAAGGGTGTGGAAAAGGATTCAGATTCTCACCTCTGTGGCCAGGCTTAGGGACACAGAGAGCAGGGGCCTGACACTTCATCCCACCCCCTGGTTCCCACAGTTCTAGTAGGCTGTAACCACTGAGAAGTCCCAGCACTGGAGAGATCAGTAGACTGGCTCCACAAAATACACAGTCCTATAAATCAGGGGCACTCAATCCCCAGGGCCAGTATCAGTCCAAGGTCTATTAGGAACCAGGACACACAACAAGGAGGTGAGCAGCAGTTGAGCGAGTGAAGCTTCATCTGTATTTACAGCCACTCCCCATCACTCACATTACTGCCTGAGCTCCACCTCCTGTCAGATCAGCAGTGGCCTGGGATTCTCACATTGGAATGTGTCAAAAATCCCAGTGTTCACTCGTTGACCCTATCAGTCCAGATTGACTTTGAATGCAGTTGCATTCTAGTTGCAGGGAAACAAGTTTAGGGCTCCCGTTGACTCTGCATTATAGTGAATTGTATAATTATTTCATTATATAGTACAATATAATAATAATATAAATAAAGTACATGTAATGTGTTTGAATTATTCCCAAACCATTCCTCCTGACCACTCAGGTCTGTGGAAAAATTGTCTTCCATGAAACCAGTCCCTGGTTGGGGACCAAAAAGGTTGGAGACCACTGCTATAGATCATTCCACTTAGTCTCCCACAGCTGAGCCAGTAAAATTTCATTTTCCAGATAAGGAAATCAAGGCTCAGATGAGTCAGAGGTTTCCCTAGATAGGCAGCAAGTTCTGGCACTGGGCATTGAGTGCCAGCTTCCTGATAGGGATCTCACTCCCTCCTGCAAGAAGGAACTTGTGGTTCTAGCCATTAGCTTTCACTATCACCTCTTGATCCCACAGAACCCATGTCTAAGGAGACTAGGGCAGGAAGCTGATTTCCTACAGGTCTCTAAGCAGACCACCTTGGTGGGCAAGACCCCGGAGCCTTAGAAAGGGAGATGATACAGCAGAGGATCCTCCTGATCATGACTGAGCCCTGACTGCCATAGCTGTTCTTGGGGAAGGTGAGGGGATCAACTGTCCCCCTGCACCCAGCATAGGCCTGAGCCCTCTCCTCTGCCCTCAGCCGTGTGCATGTGGGAGATCCTGAGCTTTGGGAAGCAGCCTTTCTTCTGGCTGGAGAACAAAGATGTCATCGGAGTGCTTGAGAAAGGGGACCGGCTGCCTAAGCCCGATCTCTGTCCACCCATCCTTTACACTCTCATGACCCGCTGCTGGGACTACGACCCCAGTGACCGGCCACGCTTCACTGAGCTGGTGTGCAGCCTCAGGTGAGCATGGAGGGAATTGTTCTGGAGGGCAGGTTTCTGTTCCACAGCACTGGGAGTTTACACTGGGCTTCCCTTAATGAGGTGTGCTCGGAGTCTCCACAGTTCTATGCAGCAGGCATCCTCATTCCCATCTTATGGATGAGAGAATTCCAGTGCAGAGTTGATGACACCCAAGGCAGTGGCAGGCAGGGCTGGGATTTGCACCCAGACCTCCCTTCTGACCAGTGCTGAGCCCTGTATCCAGGTGAAAGCAATCCTTCCAGATACTTGGTTTCAGACACAGTACAGAGATGCCCACTAGCTCTGTCAGATGATGGAAGATTGAGACCAAGTGCATTGTCAAACATGAGCTCTGAGACAAGGCGAGCCTGAGAATCTTGCTCTTCTGGGCACTGTGCAACACCAAGCACAGTGCCTTGAACATAGCATATGCTCAGACATTTTTGTTTGTTTGTTTGATTTTGTTTAGTGTTTTTGTTTTTTCATTTCTTGGTTAGAATCAAAAGACTGAAACAGACTCTCATTAACAGTGCTGATGCCAGTTTCCCTCACTACCCCTGACCTCAGAAATATTCTTCCCCTGTGTGATCAGAAGGGTATTCAGAGAACCATGTGCCTCCCAGAACCATAGTCTGACAGTCCCTTCTGTAACCTTAAGAAAAGATTTGATCAGTGTTTCCCAAACTTTTGGGATATAAAGGACCCTTTTAACATCATTTTTGAGAATTCCTCTATGTAACAATAGTTACACTTTTAGAATCTTTTGATCCATAAAAGGGAAGCCGTATTGTGATTTTTAAATTATATTCAATACAATGTATATACATTTGAAAGCACAATACTAAGTATTATACATTCAGTCCTATATAATCCTTGACACCCATATAAATATGGGCACTGTAGGACCTCCTGCAATAATCCCACAGGCCTCTGGGGTCTGTGAATCTCAGGTCAAGAAGCTCTAGATGGGCCAGAAAGGCAAGAAGCTTACAAAGTGCCTTCTTAGCACACAGCAGAATGCACTGGTAGGATGTGTAGTGAGCAGTAGGAGCTATTGAACATAGCCATGAGGGTGCTGGGACAATGGGAATCTCCATGGGGCTCTGTGCCAATAGCAGGCATGGGAGGGCAGGTGGTATACAGAGGTGGGACTGTGGAAAGCTTCCACTACCTGGTTGATCTGAGACTGACTGTCCCAGGACCTTTTACATCCTTGGATTCATTTCTATAATCTTCCCAACCTTAGTCTGGAGATGGCCTTAGGGTCCATATTCCAGCCTATGTCAGAGGGTCTTCCCAACCCACTCTGCAGGGGAGCTGGAAACAGGACCGAGTGGTCCTCACCAATCCTCTCTGGGCTTCAGCACAGCATAGAGAGGAGCCCTAAGGAGTATCTCACTTTGACTTTGTTCTCTCTACTTATCTGACCTGACTCTTTGGCAGTGACATTTATCAGATGGAGAAGGACATTGCTATAGAGCAAGAGAGGAATACTCGCTACCGACCCCCCAAAATCCTGGAGCCCATTGCCTTTCAAGAACCCCCACCCAAGGTAAGCCAAGCTCTGGCCTCACTGGTCATGTGAACCACAGCAGAGCTGGGTCCCTGCTGACCTGCTGCTCCCATCATGGTATAGGCAGGATGCTCTCTTACAATCCTCTCTGTACACTGCAGCAAAAGCACTGAACACATAAGTGCCCTGCCAGGGTGGATCTAACACAGCAGGCACCATGTGGGACAGTGGGGTCAAGAATCATGCCACAGAAGTTTTCCTTAAAAGACTGGGCAATTTTCTTCTAGGAGTTTTCTACAAACAAAGTAGATCTTCCTGAAGACCTTGGACGGGCCCCTTAGATCCCATTTGTGTCTGTGTCCTGCATGGCAACTTTGGACTCAGAAGCCAGGGCTCCCCTTCCATGCCATTAGGTGGGTTGGTTTTGAAAGACCATGCTGGTACAAGTCAGCTAGAGCTGCTATGACAAAGTATCACAGATTATGCAGCTTAAACAACATTTATCTCTGAGTACTGCAAGCTGTGAAGTCCAGGATCAAGGTGCTGGACTCTAGTGAGGACTCTCTTCCTGATTTGTTGACAGTCTCCTCCTAACTACATCTCCAGAGATCTCTAGTCTCTCTTTCTCTTCTTATAAGGGTACTAATTCCATCATGGTGTCCCACCCTTATGACCTTATCTAATGTTAATTACCCCCTGCCCAACCTCCTAATATCATCACATTTGGGACTTAGGGCTCTGGCATAGGAATTTGAGGAGGAAACATGAACATTCATTCCCTAACAATGATCAGTTCAGTCCCAAGATCTTTTCTCACTGTCTTTCTTGCCTGGCATATCCTGGCCCTTCCCTGAAGTCTGGTTTAATTTTTATCTCCTCCATGAAACTTTTGGAGTACTAACCTCCTACCTCTGAAGGTCTGTGGCTCCGAATTGCTGATTTGGTAGGTACTCCCCCGTATAGAGAGGTTACATGGATCATTAACCCCTCCAATTAGCAATAGCCCCCAGAAGGGCAGAGAGGCTGGCCTCTCTGTACCTTTCCATCACTCAACATGTAATTGGTGCTCAATAAATGGATGCAAAATTATTTTAATGATAACGTTGTCCCTCATCTCTCCTTGACTCTGAACAAACCTGAGATGTCTCCAACCTGCTACTCTCCCCAGTGAGTTATGCTCACTCAAGGAGAGAGTCAGGGACTGATACATCGCTGCATTCTCTCTCCAGCCTAGCCGACCCAAGTATAGACCTCCTCCGCAAACCAACCTTCTAGCTCCGAAGCTGCAATTCCAGGTAAATATGTAGCCGAAGGGCTGGGAATATTCAGGTTCATCCTTCATCCAGGTCTTCCCTAAAATTCTATTCTGGTGCCTTTGAGGAACCTCAATCATCCATTTGTGTAATAGAAATGGCCTGGGTTGGCTGTTGTTTGGTACCCAGAACAGAGCTTGAAATGCAGATCAAAAGAAATGTAATTCCACCAGTTGTCCTTAGCTAAGAAGACCTTCTTTAAGCCCAGCCCATGTGTCCATAGTGTCTGCTGCTTCATGTGTCTGCTTGCAGCTACCTCTCCATGTCCAAGGTCTCTCTAGCCTCCTACCCTGAGCAGAGCCTTTGGAGAAGGAATCCCAGGGAGCTGGGAACAGCCAATGTTCTCCAAAAAATAAAATCACTCCCTGGGACTCCCCTCAGAGGTCCTGGCCAGGACCTGAGTGTCCAGTGAATAGAGAGAGGCTTCCATCTGAACTTCTCCTGCTTCCATCAACACCAATCATGAATCTTCCCAAGGCTGTAGGTCCTTATCTCAGAATATCTGTGTCCTATATCACTCACATTTAGTTAAGACAAAACCCAGCTCTTCCCTTTTCTTCTCTTTTATCCCCCAGCTCAGAGTAACTCTTCAAAAAGGGAGCATATGAGAGGCCAGCAGATGGTATAGTTGGTTACATTGCTGGACTCCCACATGGCTGACCACAGTTTAAGTCCCGGACCCAGTGGCTTGAAATCACTCTGAGTGTATGTGTATGTGAGCCCAAAATCCTGAGAGGAGAATGGAGGAGAAGGGATTGCAGTGAGGCCATCCCTCTGGGGGTGATTTCTCACTTTCCCTGTTGTCTCTGTCTCCCTCCAGCCAGCACATATATCCTAAGGCAAAAATCTTTTAAAAAAAGAAAAAGGAAGATCTGAACCATCAGTTTATTTTGTACTCCTTACATAAACGTGGTATCCCATGGTTATACCTTTCTTCCCCAGGAAATGCCCCCAGTGCCAAAACGAGCCTATTTAAGAATACTCCTTTTCAGGGGACCAACAGGTGGCATGGTTAAGGTGCTGGACACTCCCACATGGTTTAAGTCCCAGACCTGGTGGCTTGCTTTCTCACTTTCCTTCTCTCTCTCTGGCCAAATTAAAATAAATAAATTAATAAATAAAATTAAATAATTCTTAAAGAAAAAAAAAAGAATACTCCTCTTCATGTGAGGAAAAAGTTTTAATTCAAAAAGTGGAAACAATGTCCTTAAAAAGGAAATACACCGTTATATGATAAATTTTTAATTAAAAATCACACAAATCCACCAGGGTTTTTTTCTTTTACTTTTATTTACTTCCTTTCTCTTTCTTTCTTTCTTTCTTTCTTTCTTTCTTTCTTTCTTTCTTTCTTTCTTTCTTTCTTTCTTTCTAATAATTTTGCTATAGGGATCATGTGTTCACCAGAGAGAGACAGAGAGAGCAAGGGAAAGTGGGAAATCACCTCCTAGGAGAGATGACCATGCCACAGTCCCTTCTCCTACCTTCTCCTTTTGGCATTTTGGGCACACACACATGTGCCTGGAGTATTTTTGAAGCCTTTCAGTCCAGGACTTAAACCACACAGTTAGTCATGTGGGATTTAACTGCCTTAATGACTGTGCCACTGACCGACCCTAGTTTTGCATCACAGATTCAACCAACTGTCAATCAAAACTTTTGTTTGTTTGTTTGTTTGTTAGATTTTTGCCATAGGGCATGTGCACTCACTGAAGAGAGACAGAGCAAGGGAAAATGAGAAATCATCCAGAGGAAAAATCATCCAGAAGAGATGGCAAAGCCGCAATCCCTTTTCTTCCATTCTCCCCTCAGAATTCTGGGCATGCACACATGCATGATTCTTAAGCTGCTAGGTCCAAGACTTGAACCATAGTCAGCCACATGGGAGTCCAGTGCTTTAACCACCAGGCTACCTGCTGGCTCTGATTTAAAAATATTTTTAAAAAATTAAAAATAATACAAACAACAGGACAAACCCATGGCCTGGTGGTTGGGATGGCTAGATCCACATGGCTGACTGAACAGTTCAAGCGTCAGACCCGATGGCTTGAAAAACAGTGTGTGTGTGTGTGTGTGTGTGTGTGTGTGTGTGTGTGAGAGAGAGAGAGAGAGAGAGAGAGCCCAAAATACCAAAAGGAGGGAGATATGGAGGAAAAGGGACTGTAGCATTACTATTCCTCATGGTGGGTACTTGCTTTCCCTTTCTCTGTGTCTCTTTGGCAAGTGCAGGCATCCTCTAACAAATTAATATATATATATATATATATATATACAACTTTATATAGCATCTACATTATATTAGGTGTTGTAAGTAATCTAGAGGGTCATCAGAAAAGTCATGACATATTTTTGCATAGAAAAACACATCATGACTTTTCCAATGACCCAATATTTTCCAAAGGTCTTTATGAGAGGAGACCTGTTCTCAGTAGGTCAGTAACGTGTAGACCCCATCGTGTGCAGCAAGGGAGGTTTGTTAGATGAATGAGAGGCTGCATCTCTTGGACAAGGCCAGTGAAAAGCCCACATCATGCTCCTTATTATCTCCTGGAGAGCAAGCCCCATGGTCATCCACAGTGCTCATGTGTTGTTTCTTTGTGCTCATGTTTGTAGCAGCTAATTGTCCACTTTCTTGCCTTGTCCCGGGGCCTTGTGCTTCTCTGCTTTTCCTGAATAGGTCCCTGAGGGTCTGTGTGCCAGCTCTCCTACGCTCACCAGCCCTATGGAGTATCCATCTCCTGTTAACTCGCTGCACACCCCACCTCTCCACCGGCACAATGTCTTCAAGCGCCACAGCATGCGGGTAAGAGGACTCTGCATGCTGGGCTCCAGCCTGGACTGAGGAGGCTGCTGGAGGGAGGTGGCCAGGGGCATCTGAAATCCCAAGACTTCCAGCCCACAAGGTGCCCTTCATGCTTCCAATCTGGCCACCAAGGGGCTTTGTGACTCTTTCTCCTTGCAAACACTTCAGGAACTGGGGCCCAAGCCAGACTCTGCTTCTGAAGACACTAACTGGACCCAGAGCTACCTTGGTTCACACTGGTGCTCTGACTAGTGATGTAAGCCTTTCCTAAACCCCAGGGGTAGGACAATCTGTGATAGTGTGGAGGTTTCTGAGCAGAATTGCAACTAAGCCACAGGGTGCTAGAGAATAAAAGATGCTGCAGTTTCCACCCCACTCTGCCCTTCTTGCCTAATTGCTTTGGTTGCTAAATCTCTCCTCTTTGTGGCTGCTCCTGCTGCGTCTGTAAAAGGTGCTGGGTGGAAAGGATCTTAGGCCCTAATGTGGCTGTAGGCTCAGTTATTGGCTAGGGCAGAGAGTTAAGCCACCTCCCAGCCATCTCTTTGTTGTCAGTTCCTGGTGAGGCCCTGAATGTTCATGGATTAGCTTCTAATTGTCAGGTCTGAGAGAGAAGAAAGAAAGAAAGAGAGAGAGAGAAAGAGAGAGAGAGAGAGAGAGGGAGGGAGGGAGGGAGGGAGGAAGAAATAAAGAGAAAGAGAAAAACAAACAACAACAAAAAGTCGCTTGTAACCAGATGCCTACTTGTTACCATTCAGCTCCTTTGATACAAATGCTGGCAGTCCCTGTGGTCAGCTGCCATGAACATTTGATGTATTTTACTAAACCAAGTTACAAAACAAACTAACATCCTTGATATTTTAGCTCTAACTCCATTCACATGCATGATATTTCAGGCTTGGGATATAAAACTAAAATTTGGGGGGAAGAAAAGATACATGTATGTTATAATAGATTTGGAGAATGTAGGCAAACACGTTGATTGACTTCTTTACCATTATTCTGAATTTAGTAAAACTTGTTAATGAGCATGACAACTTAGAATTCCAGGTATCAAGATCGGCTGTGAAATGAAATTGCCCCAACCTACCTCATGTTTCTCTTTTACATTAATTTAACCAATTCTATCTTTGTATTTGCTTAACAATAATAAAACTGCACATTTTAGCAAATACTATAATTTAGGCACAATTTAGTTCTTCCCCCCTCCTGCCCATGATTCTTTATTCATAATTAATTAAGTTTCAGTAAGTTTTACTTAAAAAAATGTATTCTTTTCAAAAGAAGCTCTTTTGCACATTTGAAGGGCAGCACTGCCTTTGTCTAAGCGCTGCTACTCTGTACAGATTTTGTTCAGTCTCATAAAGACATACTGTGCAGGAGGGAAAAAGACCTTTTTTTTTCTCAGGGGGTTAGATGTAATTGCCACCAGGAACTGCCTAAAAGAACATAATGTGCATTTCTTTAAGTAAACAAAAAAAAGTTAAAAATATAAACTCCATTTGTGTGTGGATCAGAAACATTGAGAAAATCTTTTCTAGGTAGAATGTTGAAAAGATATAATAGGCTCCCTGCAAAGTATTTGAGAGCATGCAACAAAAATTCAGAGATGATTTTCCCATAAAAACAATCCTTTCTACTGACTGGTTCTATGGCTTGACTCATCTCAGAATCTGTGGGTTGCCACCCCAGAGTCAAGATAGCAGCAATTTCTCTCTTAATGACTTCACAGTCAAGAGATTTAAAATAATAAAAGTCAATAAATAGTGCTGTTTGCAGGGCAGACTGCAAGGCGCTATCCTGGGTGCTGAATAGGGCAATAACTCAGTGCTGCCTTCAAAGTGCTTACAACCCAGCAAGCTTTCAGTTTCTTCTCTAGAGTGCAGACATTCGATATATAGTAAATGTGGAGATACAATGCCCGTCTTTCATAGCCTGGCTTGCTTTCCTTAGCATTAAATCTTCCATATTTGTTCGCTTTGCATCAAATGCCAGCGGAAGGAACAGGTCAGGTGAACAGTGCCTTGTAATGCAAACCAGAAAGTTGGGGGTACCTCGAAGTGGGACTTCAGAGAGGAAAACAACTCCTTTAATCTGTATTTATCAGCTGGTCCTCAAAGGATGGGAAGATTTGGACAGAAGAAAACTGGGGTGAGGCAGAGGCATCAGTAGGAGCCACTATAAGTGATGGGAAGCCACAGGGCAAGTGGGGTGGGAGGCTGGCTAGAGCAAACAGGGGTACACATGGAAGTGGAAATAAAGCTCACAGAATAGTGTGTAGCCAAATTATCAAAGGCATCCCAGTTTATGGAGGTCATTTTAAAATACCAGGAGTACCTTATTCGATTCTTTTTAGGAGTGTAATGTACCCAGCAATGTAATTATCCATTGCCCGATAAGAACCCTAAAACATATTTCAGCAGAACAAGCCCTAAAGAGATTCAATTCTTTAAACACTCTCATTTTCTCCTTGAGTTTTATTATGAAATTAGAAGACATCAGAATAAAACTTTCCAACATGGGTTGTTGAATATTTGGTAAGATCCAGCCTGGGGCATGTTAAATATTTGGGTGGTGGAATGGTCTCTTAGCGCTTATAAAACTGTATAGAATTTTCTTGACTCTGGTCATTCATTCCATCAGATCTAGTCTTCTTCAATCCATACATTTTGTTTTTTACACCTGGAAATTTCTAACTCTAACTTTGATACTTAGTTCCTTCATGTCACTATTTGTCAATAACCTGAGGCAGCTATACCACTGTGCTTGCAGAGGTCAACATGTGCATTAGTGCAGAGCTAAGGCTTGTTAAATGTACATGGAGATAGTGCTTTTAGCATTTTCTGCAAGTGACTTGTTTGTATGTGAACTGGCCACTTCAAAGGAAAGGAACTGAGGGACTCGGAAATCACAGGAGGTTGTTGCCCCTCACAAAGGGAATTTCTGGGTTTTATACAACGAAGAGGACGACAACAATACTTTTTCTTCATGCATACAGGAGGCCAGGGGGTTGTGTGTAGCAGGTGGTTTGGAAGGACTCAACAATAATTCCACAGAGCAACCCAGGGGAAGGCTGAGGGGAAGTATGAAAACATGCAATACCTTCTGTTTAGAAACTAGTAGCTAAAACTATGAATGGCACAAAGCCCCACAGGCAAGTTAAAACATGCTACAAAGCTAGGGAGAGGAAGTATTCACTTTATGTCTACAGAGCTAGTTATCTTTACACTTCGTTCATTTTCTCTCGTTGGTCATGCATTTCTACTATGCTTTTGGTAAATAGCCCAAACTATTTCCTAATAAAGAGTACATTTTAAGGGAAAGGCATGATCGAAGGGTTCATACCGTGGCTCCTTCTTTGAGGCTCTGCCCAGCCATGGGTGGTCACATGAGGCTAGAAGCTGCAACACTGCCTCACGAAGCTTCTAGACCTGCTGCCATGGTGCCTAAGTGAAGATTAAACACCAAAAGGGTACTGAAGGGCTGACTTTGTGCTTCTAAATCTACTCAATGACAATAACCATCACAAATGCTGACTAAGAAAATAATATCTGGGCAGTCACAGGAAAATAAAATGATACGGACAGGTTGTGTCATAGTTTGAATACCATGCATATTAAGCAATGTGTTTGGGGGGTTTGGGATCACATTGCAACACAGACTTGCACTTGAGGCTGATACCAGTAACAACTGCCTGCACCTATGTGTGTGAGTTTAAGGATGGAAAACGTCTGATAAGACCAAGGCTTGTGTCTCCCACGAGGCTCTTCAGAGGACCATGCCTCCTCTGAGTCTGAACTTGGAGCTCACTCGTGTCCTCGTTTTGTCTCTGCTGTCCTCTTAGGAGGAGGACTTCATCCGCCCCAGCAGTCGAGAAGAGGCCCAGCAGCTCTGGGAGGCTGAGAAGATCAAGATGCGTCAGATCCTGGACAAGCAGCAGAAGCAGATGGCGGAAGACTACCAGTGGCTGCGGCAGGAGGAGAAATCCTTGGTGAGCAAGCCTCAAGCCCCGGGAGGGGTTTCCATACCATGTGTCCCTTCCGGTCCGCTTTTTCCTTCCCCAGCTGTGCTCCTTCTCTCAGTCTTTGCTCAGCTATGGGTGGTCACATGGGACTGCACACCATGGGGCTGCCCTCCAAGCTTCCAAACCTGCCGCCGTGGTGCCGAGGGGAAGACAAGCACCACACTTTCCAGAGGGCTGGAGCACCTGCTCTCCATACGTTCTTGGCATTTTCAGATCAGAATGCTAAGTCCTTTGCCTTGATTTTCTCCTCTGCAGGACCCCATGGTGTACATGAATGACAAGTCACCGTTGGTAAGTCACCAAGGGAGAACTCTTCCTTTGAGTCTTGGTCTGGGAAGACCTCAGACACCACAGGTCCCCTACCCCAGCCCACTAAGCCTGCCGAGCCCTTTCAGCTGCTTCTTGTCTTGGAAATATCTCGTTGCCCTTCTCATGGATCTCCACACAGCTCTTTCCTTGAGCTCTCATGAAATCCTTAGCCTTAGCCCTGCTGTGGCCTGCCCAGGACCCCTCAGCCTCCTAGAAAGGTTTCTTTGGATCAGGAGCTACCAGAATAACTCTGTCCCACTCCTAGCAATTATAACCTCTGATGACACAGGTGAGGGAGGGGCAGTAAGGGGGAAGTGCTTTGTTCCCAGGGCTGCATGGATGATGGGTTCTCTTTCCTCCCTTCCTTCCAGACTCCAGAGAAGGAGGCTGGCTACAGTAAGTACTTTTGTATTTCCTTTTGGGGGCAACGTGTGGTGCCATTGTCCTGGCTTGGTAGTCAGTGCAGAGAGTGGTGACACACGTCCGCAATTTCAAAGAACATCTATGTGTGTGTCCAGAGAGGCAGGCTTGGAATTGAGAGCTCCCCTGTCCCCTCGGCTCTACCCGTCCCACCCCTCTCCCTGCCCAATGTCCTTTCTCACCCCACCCCCTCAGTTACACACGTACTCGGGCCTCCTCCCAGTCCCTCTCCCTCCTGCAGTTGTTTGGAGGAGTTTGGGATCCCCTCTTCCCATCTATTTCCCACTCAGTCTGTTGGAAGATCCTGTGGATGAAGATTAAGTTGCCCCCATCAACCTCTCCCAGTTCATATTCATCTTCTCTTGGCCAGAGGGATGGAAGGGAGGAAGTGGAAGGAGGCAGTTGAGCCTGCAGGGTCTCTCTGCAAGCCTTTACTGAAGGCAGGGAGGGAAAGGGAGGGAGGGAAGAGGCAGCTGACCATGATGGTATGATGATGACAAAGATGACAAAATGACAATGATGTCAGTACCAGAGAGCTTACTTGCAAGCCAGGTACAGGCCTAAGTCATGCCCATACGTTAACTCATTTAATCTCACAGCACTCTATAAGGCAGACGCAATTTATTATTGTCTCCAGTTTACAAAGGACAAAACTGAAGCAGGACGGTTAACTAACTTGTCCAAAGACAGGCAGCTAATAATTAGCAGAGCTCAGATTTGAACCCAGGTAGTCTGACCCCAGGGTTCCATCCGAGCTAGCCCTCATGTTTTACAGATGAAAATGAAGGCCCTGGGAGTGTCTGTGAGCTGCAGAGGGGAGAGTGGAGCCAGGCGTTCTACCTCCCACTCGGTGGCTTGTTCTCCAGCAGCTCTGCAGAACTTGCGCATCTTTGCTCCTCAAAGCGGGAGTGACCTGCATGATTCTGCAGCTGCTTCACTTCCTTGCTCCCCAAACACTCAAGGCAGATGGCAAGAAAATTGGCATCTCTACCCCATGAGGGCAAAGCCTCCTCAAATACCTGCTGCCTTCTTAGGGCGTCGTTTCTTCTCGCGGCTGGTCAAGGCCAGACTGTACTGCTCCTCAGGGCGGGGCTGGGGCTCATCAGGGAGGAAGCACAGGCCAGAGCTGGACACCCACTGCAGCACCCCCAGCTCTGCAGTGACTGCTTCTCCTGTCCATAAAATGGACCACTGTGCTTGTCTCTGACTGTGGGCACACTGGGAAGACCAGGTTATTTTCCCTGCCAGTTTCCTGGAATTTGGATTTAGCTCTCCCAGTGGTAGAAGATAGGGGGTTCACTGGGTTATCAGGAGGTATAATCAGGAGGGCCAGGCTGCTGAGAACCGTCTCCCACTCACTGTCCTTCCCCTTGCAGTGGAGTTCACGGGGCCCCCACAGAAGCCACCACGGCTGGGCGCACAGGTATGTGTTGGCTCCACCGAAGCTGGTGACGTAGTCGAGTCGGGGGTCCACAGACCACAGACCATGAAAACTTCAAAGTCCCTCAAAGTCCCTCAGATATAATCGGTCCAGTACCGTTACATAAATGAAGCCCAGAGGAAGGAAACGCCTTACCTAAGGCCATGCAGCTAATTCCAAGAAAAAAAAAAAAGCAATGGGAGGAGCCATCTCCTGTCTCCCATGCTCTCTCTTGGCCTGAATGAAAGCTCCTTGGTCCAGCCCTGGGGGCAAGAGATGTGGGCTTCCTTCGTCTCTAGAGCCTCGCCTTAACTCTCAGCATCCCTATTATCCTTAGAGTAGCCTGGAGTAGCCACTTTTTTTTTTTTTTTTTTGGTCTGAGACAGTGATTCTCAACCTTGGCTGTCTATTAGAATCTCTGTGGAACGTCAAAACCACCTGGACCCCATCCATGCCCAGCTGAAGACTCAGTTGGTCTGGTGTGAGACTGCCACTAGTATTTTATTAATTTATTTTTAGAGAGAGGGAGTATGCACTCACCAGAGAGATAGAGAGACAGAAAGTGAAAAATCGCTCCCTCCCCATGGGGGATGACCACACTGCATTCCCTTCTCCTCTTGGGATCTTGGGCATGCATGCACACACCTCCAGCATAAGTTTCAAGTTGCCAGGTCTGGGGCTTGAACCATGGTCAGCTACATGGGAGTCCAGCAATGTATCCATTAACACCATCTGCTGGTTCCACCACTAGTACCTTGTTAAGCTTCGCTGGCTGGAGAAGCACTGCCCTGGAAGAGGGCGAGAGAGATGCACCCCAGTCAGGACATTGCTATTCCTGAGAAGAGCCCTTTCAAGTTGGGCTGATGGCTAAAACTGTCCTGGTGGTACCTGCCCAGGAAAGAGTCCCCTGACTCACCTGCTTCTCCTCTTCAGTCCATCCAGCCCACGGCCAACCTGGACCGGACCGATGACCTGGTGTACCTCAACGTCATGGAGTTGGTGCAGGCTGTGCTGGAACTCAAGAACAAGCTCTGCCAGCTGCCCCCTGAGGACTACGTAGTGGTGGTGAAGGTGAGAGCCAAGACCTCCGTGTCAGCTAGCCCGGCGACCCTACTTAGAGCAACATTCTCGAAGGGAATTTAGTCCCAGGCGGCCTTGGAGGGCTAGCCCCACCCCGGGAGAGCTCTCCCCAAGGGCAACCTGGCTTTGTCAAAGGACGCCTCCCCATTCTCTCTCCAGAATGTGGGGCTGACTCTGCGGAAGCTCATTGGGAGTGTGGATGATCTCCTGCCCTCTTTGCCATCATCTTCAAGGACAGAGGTGAGTGTCCTTGTCCCACGCTGTGCTGTAAACTGTCACTTCTGCCCTGCAACTCCTTCTGTCCCACCAGAGTCACACAATGGGGCACCTGGGCAACCTCATTTCTGCCCACTGAGTCCCCAGCAGCGGATCTGAGCAGGTACACCAGAGGGCCGAGAGGGTACCCAGGGCCCAGCCAGCTGCTAGGACAAATGTCCTAGTCCAGGTCTCAGGTCATTGCAGTGAGCTCTTCCTGAGTGAAGGTGTGCCAAAGAGAATGTACCTTCTTTTTTTTCTCCTCCTCCTATTATCCATTATCTAGTCACCCTGTATACTAAGTTAAGGACAGTGTGTCATTGAAATAGCACTGGAGGTTTCTTTAGTTGATCATTTGATTGAATTGCTTTTATTTAAGTGGGAAACAAACAATCATGGGCAAGCAAAATGGGAGCCTCGGTGCTCTTTGTTATGATGAGGAGAGCAGGGGCCTCCGAAGATCTCCATGTCCGAGTCTCTGAGACCTGTGAACTTGATACCTTACATGGTAAGAAAAGACTGCAGATATGAGCAAGTTATGTGTCTTGAGGGTCAGCAAATGGCATGGAGGAGAAGGCGGCTAGATCCCACATGACTGACTTTGTGGTTCAAGACCCAGACCCTTGAGGAACACTCCAGGTGCGTGTGCATGCTAAAATTTTCGAGAGGAGAATTGAGGAGAAAGGATTGCAGTGTGGCCATCCTTCCAGCGAGTGATTTCTCATTTTCCTTCTCGCTCTGTCTCTGTCTCTGGCAAGTGCACACACACCTTGTAGAGAAATAATAATAATAATAAATAATAATAAATAATTTAAGTGTCTCGAGATGGGGCAATCATGCTAGATCACCAGAATGAGCCCATTGTAGTCACAGGCCTTAATGAGGGAGGCAGGGAGGCCTGTCAGAAGATGCAGCTATGAGGACAGAGGCTGGGGTGATGCCATTGTTCAAAGGGGCCCTGAACCCAGGAAGGTAGCCTCTCGAAGCAGGAAAAGAACAGATTCTCCCCAAGATCCTCCAGAAAGAACCAACCTCAGTGACACCTTGACGTTAGTCTGGTAGGACTCCAGATTTCTGAGATCCAGAACAATAAGAGAATGTACACGTGGTGTTTAAGGCACTACGTGGAACTCTGTTACCGAAGCTATAGGGAACCGACCCAGGGCCACAGGACATGTCACTTGTACAGCTGGAAAGCAGTTGTAGGCCCTCAGGGAACCCTTTGACCCCTTTGTCCCTCCCAGTGGTCAGGTGACCGCCGCATCCAGTCACTGTCCCCACTCTCTGCTACTATTGAGACAGGAGACTTCGGGCCATTCCTTGGCCTCCCTCTGGGGGGCAGCAACGACCCACAGAGGAGCTACAGTGGGAGCTCCTTTATCTTTGGCTTGTCCATTCATTCATTCATTCACCCATTCCACTCTATAAACGTCTCTTGAGCACCACCCTGTACTCAGCAGTGTCCAAGGCTCTGGTGATGCAATAGTAAACAAAACAGCCCCGATCTCTTGGTTTGAGAGTGAAAAGCCCCAGCCCATTTTTCGGCTGACGAGGAAGTGTTGTCATGAAGGGAGGGTCTTGTCTGGCTGGAGCAGGTGGGGCTGGCACAAAGCAGGCTGGGCTCTGGGTTGTCTGGGATGTCAGCACCTGTGTCCTCAGCTCCAGCCCACAGAGCCTTGGATCCCCCCAAGATTTGAACTAATCCATCCACAGGAAGGTTCCCCCTGCCTTGGCCAACACAAGAGGTAGATGCCTGCTCCAGGCATAGACCTTGCAGGCCCTCAGCTCCCAGCCTTTCTTATGTGTCCTTGTACAGATTGAAGGGACTCAGAAACTGCTCAACAAAGACCTGGCGGAGCTCATCAACAAGATGCGACTGGCCCAGCAGAACGCCGTGACCTCCCTGAGCGAGGAGTGCAAGCGGCAGATGCTCACGGCCTCCCACACCCTGGCTGTGGACGCCAAGAACCTGCTCGATGCCGTAGACCAGGCCAAGGTTCTGGCCAATCTAGCCCACCCACCTGCAGAGTGACGGAAGGGGGACCGCCTGCCTGCATCCTGCACCCCCATCTGTCGTGTACCCCACCCCTGCCTTGCCTTTGGTCATGTGGGTCTTCTCAGGGGGAGGCCGAGGGAGCCCTTCTTCCTTTGCCACTTTGCACGACCCCCTGCCCCACCCCCATCCCAGGCCGTGCTGCTCAGGCTGCAGCTGGACGAAGGGGACTCTAGGCTATGGACATAGGGTGGGGGTAACAAAGATGGCTTCAAGGGGCACCGCCACTACCCGGCCACTCCCTTCCACCCAGCCTGGGTGCTGGGGCCTCACTGGGGGTCACAGGGGTGCCCCTAGCAGCCAAGATGGCTTTATGCATGGACATGGCAGGCCCATCTGGAAACCAAGCTACTCCTTCTCCTTCCTCCTGGGCCCTTGGAGGTCCCCAATACAGAGGGGCTGGGAAGGGGCTTTGTTGTGGGAGTCAGGTGACTGTGAAATGAGGGATGGGCCCGGCTTTTTTGTACAGTGTATATTGGAATTTATTTAATGTGAGTTAGGTCTGGACTGACAGCCATGAGCCCTCCTGCGGGAGGACCTGGAGCACTGTCCGGGAAGAGTTCATGGGAGCCCTGGCACGGGACGCTGCGTTGTCAACAAACCAAGTGTCAGGGGCAGAGGCGGAGAGAGGGAGGCCAAAACAGGACTTAGGACACAGTCTGCTCTCTCCCGGCTCCCTCTTTTCTCATTCTTCTTTTTCTTGCCCTTCCTTTCTTTCTTTCCTCTTTTCTTACTCCTCCTTTTTGCTCCTTTTTCTCATCTGCTCCCTTCCTTTCTCATGTGTTTGTGTAAACACTCTTTTACCCCCTTTCTATTTGACTCGTGGTTGAATTAAAATTGTACCATTTGCTTTGTGTTTTGTTTCCTTGTTCTGGTGGTTTGATCTGCCCGCGGGAGGAAAACACTGACCTTGAACCACGGCCGTAAAAGAAACCGTGTCCGTGTTGGGTGCAGATAAAGGATGGAGCAGCCCTGGACCTCAGCCAAGGACAAGTGTGCAGTGACACCAGAGGTGGGGCCAGATGTGTGCCCTGGCCCCCACACTGTGGTCAGAGGGGCCCCTGACCCATGGGCAAGTCTCCATGAAGGACTCAGGGCGGTCCCCTCCTTGATTTTTTTTTGTGGTGCTCCTCTCCTGGCTGGTCTCAGAACAACTCAGGCTCTGGAAGGGCTTGGCGGGCACTGAGGATGCCCATAGGTGGCCGGTGAGGAGGGGGTTGCATAAGTGAACAGGCCTGGATTCAACTTCACTGAATCTCTTTACTCACATGCAAGATGGATACAAGAATAACATGAGGGAACAGCACACCAGGAGATCGAGTCTGGGGCCTGGCCTGGAGGCCGTGGGTGTGGGAGGGCTGCATTCACGGGGGTGGGGAGTGGGGGGGCAGGAGAGCAGACGGGCCACTGAGGGGAGGGGGAGGTCTTGGGAGAGAACAGCGGAGTGGGGACCTGGGCTGAGGTGCCGTAAGCAGGCCAATTTCTCCTGCGTCTGTCAGGGACAGGCAGTGGTGGTTTGGAAAGAGGGGACCCCAGAGACCAAAAGTGTACTGGAAGCCTGCCCTGCTTAGTCTCCTGCCCAGGACCCCCACGCCATCCATCCGTAGAGCCTGGTGTTCACCTGCTAGTTGCAGAGGTCTTACCCTCGGGGGGACTAGACAGTTCTGGGAAGGCCTGGTGCTGGCAGCAGCAGCTTGATCTGGGCTCTTGCATGCAACTGAGGTGTTCCATTTTAAGGTGTAGAAACAGACAGTCCAGAGCAGGCCAGACACACCACGAGCCTAAGAAGGATGAGGAAGGCAGACAGGGAAGAGGATGGTCCTGCAACCCTGGCACCGCAGCCTAGGGGTCCAGAGCAATCCAGCCGGGTTCCCTCAACCACTCAGAGCAGTTGTCTGGAGTGCTGACCACCACTTAACCCAGTGCTGTGCTGAGTGCTGGGGTTGGGAAAAAAATAAAAGGCCTAGGCTCTGCCCTTGAGGAGTTCATGGTCAAAGGAGTCCAAAGCAAAGATCTTAAACTCCTAAGTGAGGCCTGCTGGTGCAGCGGGCATCTGGTCAGACAAGTGTGTGTCTAAGTTCAAGAGCAGCTCAGGGTGTCTTTCTAGTTTACTGCTCGCTTAGGGACAGTGCCCTGCAGGCAGCGGCTCTCGACTCTGCCAGGTCTCTTGGGTCCCGTCAGTACTGCAAGAGGGAAGGCAGGGGCTGAAGTTGAGAAGCCTGGGGACTCGAAGGTTTCCTGCCTCCCCTTCCTCCCATTCTGGAAGAGGCTGTTTTGCTCCACTGCTCGGCCACAGCTCTGAGACCTGCAGACCAGCTGGGACCTTGTGTCTCAGCCTGGCTTCAAGAGAACTCACCTGGGAACCAGCAGTTAGCGTAATGGCTATGTCACTGGACTCCCACGTAGTCGACCGCGGTTCGCGTCCCGGACCCGGTGGCTTAAAACTCACACCAGGTGCGTGTGCTTGCGTGCCCAAGATCCCGAGAGGAGAATGGAGGAGAAGGAATTGTGGCATGACCATCCCCCCTGGGGGGTGATTTCTCGCTTTCTGTCTCTATGTCTCTCTCTGTCTGTCTGGCGAGCGCATGAGCCCTATAGCGAAAACCTCTCCCCCCGCAAAAAAAAAAAAAGAGAACTCACCTGCCTTGCAGCCTCCTCCTGCTGCCATCCATGCCAAGTGCTACCTCACCCTGCTGTTCTCCCTGACACATTGGGCCCAGAGCTCTTCCACCCCCAGGAGCCCTCTCCCTTCCCCAACACCACTTCTCTGAAGACTGCATTCTGTTCCTCTTCAACCTGGCCCCACCTGTTTGTCCTCCTGCTTGACCGTCTGTCACTTAGTGTCTCTATTGCTCCTCTCGGAGGATCTCATCCTGCCTCACTTGGTCACCCCCATATCCTAACTTTCTGCAGAGAAAAATCCCTTCATCTTTTCTAGCTCTTCCATATCCAAAACAGGGCTTTGTGCCCAGCAGATTCTCAGCACTCAGTAGAGTCACGTCAAGGTGAATCATTCCAGGAAGTCTGCAATGAATGGGCCAGTTTAGGGACTCTGCGAAGAGGCACCTGCAGGCAGTGTTGACCCCAGAGGATGCTTTAGTTAAAGATGGTCAAGAGACAGGCAGCAGGGCCACCTTAGAGCCAACACGCGGATGAGAAGTCAGATCATTCCAGCCAGGAATGGAGGAAGAAAGAGTCCAATGGTCCCCAGGAAGCAGACAATGACAAACAGCCAGAGGAATATCCTGTCGATGACCATGGCCACATACTTCCAATCTTCCTTCACCTGTGGTAGGAACGGGCTCACAGTGACAGGGACCATGTCTTGGGAAGGGGAAGTGTCCCTCCCACACACAGCCCTTCCAAGGATGGCCACTGGGGGTGGCAGCAACTGCTCCAACCACACTGAGACCTTGGGAGCTAAGGTTGACCCAAGTGGAAGGGAAGCCGGAAGAGAAAAACAGGGTCATCAAGCTCCAATAAATGGGCCTAATTCCCACCTTACTGTCCCTCCATAAGGCCAGGGTCTTTCCACAAGTTCCATGTAAAGGAGCCTAGTGGGACACTAGGAAGTGGTTGGACCACTTAGGACATGCACCCTCCCAGGACCCACAATGTTTTCAATGCAAAGCCCAGCAATTACTAAATAGCGAAGACTTTGCTGCCCCCAGGTCACCTCCCAACCTTGTAGGACACTGAGAGAGGAAGGTAGCTGAGGGCAGGTGTGAAGCAGGGGAGGTGGGGAGTAGGGCTGGGGTTTTACGGAACTCAGGCTCATAGTCCAGGCGAGGGAGTGTGGATTCCTAACTGCTCCTAGATTAGATAATGGTTAACTTTCACCCAGCGTAACCTCCTGGCCTTTCATCCATCCCTAGGTCAATACGAATTCTGTGATGGGGCAGTGACCCGCTCACCTACCAATATTAGACTCAGTGAGGGCCAGGGAAGGAGCCTACTTGGTACAATTAAGAGTCTTCAGGGTTTGGGGTTAAATTGAGGTTTGCAAAATGTCCTGAGCTTGTGAACAAGAAGGAGGAGACCATCCAGGACAAAGGAGGAAGGTGATGCAGTGGGCTCGTTCACTTGGTCTCTCCTGAGTATCCTCTCTGCCTCCCCTGCCCCACCCCATCACCCATAGGGTAATGGTGGCAATGACTGAGGCATCGTGGCATGAGGATGGCATGGTTCAGCACCTTAGATTCTCCCTCTCTGGTTTGCAGTCTCCCAGGTAGGCCTATCTGGGGCATTCTTGACCTCCAGGGCATGTACTTTGCCACTGCCAATAAATGTCCTAATAGCTGACAGTCATTCTCACCATCGATTCCAGACTCTTAAGGGCATGACTGAGGGAGACAGGCCCAAGGGAGGAGAGACTGCACCGGCCAAAATCAACACCCTGGAGTGAGACGGTTTCTTGCTATACTGGTGAAGTCACCCAAGGACAAGCCTCTTACCCAGCCCAACATACCGAAGAGTCAGCATCCTCAGACCGCAGGTGGTCAGCGATATAGTGCACACCTTCCAGTGCCTTCTGCATGCGAGGTGACAGCAGGATCTCACTGTCCTGTCCTGGAGCCTCAGACTTGGGAGCTGAGGCCACTTGGTGCAGATGGCCACGGCTGCAGTGGGCACTCCTGAGGGGAGCTGGCTGACCTGCACACATCCATCTGTCTTCCTCCACCGCCTCCTTCCTCTCCTCTGCATCCACACGGGTCTCCAGCCAGTGGTAAGAAGGGTCGAGCTTCAGCCCCGGGGAATCATGGAGCTCCAACGTGGGTGGGGGCCGCTTCATCAGAAGCCACCGAGGCACGCAGCCCAGAAGGGCCACCCGCACCCAGGGAGGCATGGTGTGGGTGCTGGGGGAGCGGTGGTGCACGTTGAGGACGAAGACGGTGATGACGATGGAGAGGGTGACGAAGATCATGGTGAAGAGCAGGTACTCACCGATGAGCGGGATGACCAGCGAGGTGGACGGGATGATCTCAGTGATGAGCAGCAGGAAGACGGTGAGCGAGAGCAGCACCGAGATGCACAGTGTGATCTTCTCGCCGCAGTCCGAGGGCAGGTAGAAGACCAGCACCGTGAGACAGGAGATGAGCAGGCAGGGGATGATGAGGTTGATGGTGTAGAAGAGCGGCAGCCGGCGAATGACGAAGGCGTAGGTGACATCAGGGTAGATCTCCGCGCAGCAGTCATACTTCTTGGTGTTGTAGGTGCCCGTGGCGTTGAGGATGGCCCACTCTCCGCTCTCCCAGTAATCCTTCAGGTCCACGGTCTGCTCCATCTGCTCCAGGTCGATCTTGGCCTTGTCGTAGGTCCAGGAGCCAAACTTCATCTTGCAGTTCTGCTGGTCGAAGGGGAAGAAGGTGACGTCGATGCTGCAAGAGCTCTTGTAGATGGCTGGGGGCACCCAGTGCACGGTGCCCGTGAAGAAGAGGTGAGCCTTGGTCATGTGGGTCACGGCAAACTCCCCATCTGCACTGTGGAGAGGACAGGAGCTGGGGGCCTGCACGCCCCACCTACCTAAGCCAGGCTACTGCAGGGAGCCACCAGCAGGGGGTCCTAGGAACAAAGCCACACCTGGCTGTGCTTTCGGAGTGTACCCAAGTGTGGGAGCTTCTCTCAGCTCACAGACCTTTATGACTACTTGAGTTGTCTTCTTAGACACCATCGTTTTAATTATCAAAGTGGGAATTCTGAAGAACCGAGGAAGGAGCCAAGAATTCCAAAAATAACCAATCTTAGTACTTTTTTTTTTTTAATTGCCAGAAGGCTCATGAGGCGAGAGGCGGAGAAACACACAAAGAGAAAGAGAAAGCACCCCTTCGGTGGGATATAGTCATGTTGCAATCCCTTCTTCAATTCTCCAATTCTGTCAGGTGTTAGGGCAGACTTACACCTGTGCCCAGCAGGTTTTCTTAAGCTACCAGGGCCAGGACTCAAAGAGTGGTTGCCATGTGGGATCCAGCTCCCTTAACCACTAGGCCATGGGGTCAGCCCACTATTAACATCTTGATGTTATATGTGTCATATATATTTGACTATTATATAGATGAGGGGTGTGTGTTTGTGTGTAGAAACAGTTTTACACATTTAAGATCATGAGGTATGTGAGGGGACTTCAGCATGTTTGTGGGAAAATGAAATTAAAGTATAAGTTCATTTTGGAACAAAAAATGTGTTATTCATGCACGATTTTTTTATTATAATATGTATTTTCCATAAACTTTGTGAAGACCTCTTCATATATAAATTATAATATGTATTTTCCATAAACTTTGTGAATATCTCTTCATATATAGTTGTTCTCTTTTACTCGTTTAATACTTTAGAGTGATTATTTCTGAGTTTATTTTTCCTCCCCGTTAGGTGGCTGGTCAGCCTTTTGGGTGGTATTTGTTTTAAACAGTTATTTACTTAATTTTATTTATTAATATTATCTTTAAATTTTGCTGTAGGGCATACACACTCAACAGAGAGAGTGATAGAGACTGAGGGAAAGTGAGAAAAGTTCCGGGACTTGAACCACAGTTGGTCACATGGGAGTCCAGCACCCTTAACCACCACACTGCCTGCTGGCCCCATCCACCTAGACTTTTTTGTTGATCACAGAGACATAAACCTTTGCTGATGAGCGTACTTCCTTGAATCCATCCATTTAGCATGCATTTTTTTAAGTTTATTTCTCCCCTGAGCAAGAGAGAGAGAGAAAAACAGCACCCCCAACAGGGTCCCAGTGTCACGACCCACCCCCAACAGGGTCCCAGTGTCACGACCCACCCCCAACAGGGTCCCAATGTCACGACCCACCCCCAACAGGGCCCAGTGTCACGACCCACCCCCAGCCTTGCAGCAGACCCAGATCGTGAGCACACGTGTGCCCTGTATACTCAGGTCTCCTGAGGTGAACCCGGAACCTTCCTATGTGGGTCTGCCTTGCAGGGCGTCATGGTTACCATTGTATCACCATCCAGCCACTTTAGGGTACCTTTTTAAACCTGCCTCATCAACAAGGGTCTCCACCAGAGATGTAGGGGAGGAGGAACGTGAGACACATCCCATGCCCTTAAGGAAACTTGGGGGGGGGCGGGAACCAGCAGTTAGCGTAATGGCTATGTCACTGGACTAGCCAACTGCGGTTCGAGTCCCGGACCCGGTGGCTTAAACTCACAGTGGTCGCTTGTGCATACATGCCCAAGATCCTGAGAGGAGACTGAGAAGGGATTGCGGCGTGGCTATCCTCCCTAGGGGGTGATTTCTCGCTTTCTGTCTCTGTCTCTTTCTGGTGAGCGCGTGAGCCCTATAGCAAAAGCCTCTCCAAAAAAAAAGAATTTAAAAAAAAGGAACCTTGGGGAAATGAGACACGGTGAATAAACGCAACACAGGGGAGGTATCTGGCAGCAACACTATGAGAGCAGTCAGAGCCCTCCTCTGGACCCCTATGGGGAGCGCCCCTTCAGGCTGGGGTGAGCAGGATATTGGGAAGGTCGTCAGTTGAACAAGACCTTGACTGATGGTAGGATTTGACCAACAGGTGGGTGGAGAGCGAACCAGCAGAAGGTCCTGAAGGAACGAGGAACAGGTGGCAACAGCATCACTCGCAGGTGTGCTGGGACTCGGGGGAGAGACCCAGGAGTTATGGGGGGAGGGGGGCAGTGAGAGATGAAGCTGGGGACATTGTGGGACTAGGCATCTAAGGACACACAAGGACTTTGGGGACACTGGAACAGTGGTGGCCAATCAGGCAGGGCTTCCTGGAAGCAGAGTCCCTTAACCCCCAGGTGGTGGCACAGTGGCTCCTTGCCCTACTCATTAATATATTATCCTTCTCCTCCAATTCCCAAAGTCCAAAAGAATACTCTGGAAGAGAGCTTTTCTTCCCATGGAGGAACTCCAAGGCAAGGTACAAGCAGGCTGCAAACAGAAACTTAGTAACAAACACACATCCCTGCAAAAGATACAAAAAAAAAAAAGGCATTTTGATCACTTCACACAGTCACCACTAGATGGCAACACGCTCTCAGTCACAGAGAGCTCACAGGGCAGGGGAGTCAGTCCCACAGCATCACATGCTGTGGTGTGAGACCCCCAGTTTACCCCTTTCTGAGTATGCAGCTCCCTGATAGCTTAGGAGAAAGGGCGTGGGCCGGTTTCAACAAAACCGCCCCTCAACACTGGGCAGGATAAGGAGTCACGGTCACTTTCCTCCGACCTATCCAAAGACAAAATCCAAAAGTGGATCTGTTTTTCTTCGTTTTATCTTTTAAAAAAACACATCTGGGGGCCAGTGGTGAGGAAGTTACTACATTGGATACCACATGACTGAGTGGTTTGAGTCCCAGACACAGTGGCTTGAAAAACATGCTGGGCACATGTGCGTGCGTGTCCAAAGTCCAGAGAGGAGAATGGAGAAGAGATCGTGGTGTAGCCATCTGCCCCACGGGATCTCTCTCTCTCTCTTTCTCTCTCTCTCTCTCTCCCTCTTTCTCTCTCTCTCCCTCTTTCTCTGGTGAGCATACATACCCTAAAGCAAAACAAAACAATAGAAACAAAAAACGTAGTGTATCTGGAGCCAGCCAGTGGCATGGTGGTTAATGCAGCTGGACCCCACATGGGTGACTGCACAGTTTGAGTCCCGGACCCAGTGGCTTTTAAAAACCTCCGGGGGGAAACCTGCTGGAGGGCCAGCAGGTGGCATAGTGGTTAAGGACTTGAACTCCCACATGGCCAACTATGGTTTGAGTACCAGACATGGCAACTTGAAAATCATGCTGGGCACATGTGTGTGCATGCCCATTCTTCAGAGGAGAATGAAGGACAAGGGATTCCAGTGAGGTGATACCCCCTAGGAACTGACTTCTCACTTTACTTCTCCCTGTCTCTCTCTCTCTCCCTGGCAAGCACATGTCCCCCTCCCATGTCCACTCTACCCACCTCTCCCAGGGGGCCTCCCCGGATCCCAGCAGCTCCCTACTTGTTGTAGAGGACAATGTCAGGGATCCAGATCATCTCCGAAGGGACCCGAAGGGATGTGATGTTGCCAAAATCAGCTGGATTCCAGCGCAGCTTGTAGTCACTCCACTCCTGTGTGCAGGGAGGAGGTCTTGTCACCAGGCTGCAGGGCAGGGGCCGCGGCAAAACTGGGCCACCCCACAACTGGGCCGAGATGTTGGCTCAGGAGTGACCAGAGCACACCACTAGCCACTGGACACAAACGGTTCGAGGAAAGACAGGATGGGGACCTAAGAATCAGGCGTCTCACCGAAGATACCCACCCTCCTGGCTTTGCCCTGACTTTGCTGGCCAAAGGCCAGGCTCACGGAGAGCTCAGCCATCCTGGTCCTGTCTCGCGTCTGCAGTAAAGGCACATAGAGTGCATCACACTTTATATTTCTTCACACTCTGAAGCTAGGTAGAGCTTCTGCAGACTGGGTCAGGCAATACAGACCAGGCGAGAGGTGTTTGCCCACTTCACAGAGGAAGGAATTGAAGACCAGAGAGCAAAAGAAGAGGTCAGAGGGGCCCACAAAAACTTCGTGAAGACTATGAGAAAAACTATGCATGGATTTCAAAATCTTTTGCATCAAAATAAACTCATACCTTCATTTCACTTCTCTGTGAACTTTCTGAATTCTCACATAGGCTATTGAAACGGGAATTAACAGGGACTTTCGAACTGTGTTCAAGAGCACATGAGGGTCCCCAGCAGAGATGGGATGCTCTGGACCCCACCCCTGCTTCTACCCATGCAGGTCCAGGGGAATCTGTATCCCCTACCCCCCAAACCTCCCCTTCCAAAATCAAGTTTTTATTCTCTCTGTAGTTTATCTGTCAAGTTTTCAGGCCCAACCAACAATCTGGGGGTCCCTACACCACTTGGGGTATGTTAATCTTCTTGGGCATGTGGAAGTAGATGGTATTATTCCCATTTCGCAGCTGAGGAAAGTGAGGCTCCCCGAGGTGACGCAGCCTGCCCTGTCACAGGCTGAGCAGAGGTGGTGCTGGTAGGCCTGACTCTCACACCCACTCTAGTGCCCCTTCCAGCCTCCCCACCCTGGGGAGAGCTGTGACAACCCAGGTGTAGGCCTCCCTCCTCTACCCACACTGCATGACCATGAGGCTTCCCAAGTGTCCTCCTCACTCTCTCAGTTTGTGCACCTGCAAAGACAAGCCCAGTGACTAGAATCTCTGGCCCCATGTTGGTCCAAGTCTCCAGGGAAGGCCTGGGGCTGGTAGATTCCTGCCGCCCTCCCACCTCGGTCAGGGGAGGAGCCCTCACCTGCTTCAGCCAGACGTTGGTGGTCATCATTTGGTTCTTCTCATCCTGGCCGGTAGCGGGGAGACCGGAAGAGCAATCAGTGATGGAACCAGGGAAACGGTGCAGTGGCCTAGGTTGCTTTGGGCCCCCACTCACCGGTAGAACCTCTGATATGACACCCTAAACCCAGCCCAGTCACCACCCGCTCCTACCACAGCGAAGTTTACTCAGACACTTCAGGACCACACAGACCAGTCAACCCGGGCTTGCAGACTTATGTTACGTGGAAGAACCAGAGTGTCTAGAAAACCCACTTCTGCCAGTCTGATAGCCCCAAAGACCAGCCCTGAGGATCCACGCTGTGACCAAGGGGAGGGGAGGGCTGAAGGGAGACGGGAGGGATCTGGGCAGAGGGAGGGCCCTGGAAAGGGGCAGGTGGTCTGGGGCCGATGCCAAGGGACGCACCACGTCGATGAGCTGCGCAATGGACAGCCCGAAGCGCACGATCACCACGTCCGAGGTGTTAGGCACTGGCCGGGCCCAGCGATTATAGCCCCCAAAGAGGTGTTTGAAGAGGCGGTCCTCTGCCTGGGTGTGGGAGCCTCGCAGGGACGATGCTGTGGGACAGAGAGAGGTGAGCGAGGTCTCTGGGCATCCCAAGAGGTGAGCACTTGGCTTCTCTCCTCCTCCCATCAAATCAGAGCTACCCACCCTCACCGGACCTCAGTTTGCCCATCCGTAAAATGGGAATGTGACTCCAGATCTCTCAAAACACCACAGAGGATGAATAGAGCCTTGTCGACCAGAGCTTTACACAGGACAGAGCACGCCACACCGTCAGAGCCCATGAGATGTCAGCTACTTTGTGACTAGTAGGTAAGGAAGAGTGGGAACGAGGGCTGCTCAGACGCAGAGGTGAGATTCCGCCCTGGGCTGAGGGGTCTCCAGGAGGAGTGCTAATGGGGAGACTCCTGGACTCTGCCGGTGGGTGGGGGGCAGCTACAGGGAGAAGGGCTTCACACAGGGCAGTGAGCCTGGCTGGCAGCGAGCAGCTCACAGGCCCCATGTCTTGCCACTGGCGTGAACGGCGGAGTCCTCTGCCACTCTGGGCATCTCCCTGATTGTCTCCCCTTAAACCACTGGCGTTTGCTGTTTCTTATCAGGTAGCCAAAGGGAGGCATTGTCTGAGGATGTCGCTCATGCTGATTTTTACTGCATTCTGCCAACAGCCTCACCACTTCAGGGACTGCCACCTGAGCAGGTGAAGAACCAACTCAGTTCTCTCCTTCCAAAATAAAAAAAAATAAAAATAAAATAAAAAAGGATGGGTCGGTACCATGTGGGGCGGAAAGCAGGACAGTGACAATGGCCACCGGGGTGAATACCGAGATGCTGGTCACAGCCTTGCATTTAGTCCTTAGGTAGCCCCCAGGAGGGCCACAGCACCATTCGCATTTTGCAGGTGAGGAGGTGTTCAAGGTGACCTGCTGATGTCAGAGCTGTGAGTGCCCCTCCACGTCCTCTCTGTGGATCCAGTTGATGACCTCTGCAGGCCTCTGCAGCTTTGAGGGTTGCAATGAGCCCGCCTGCCTGCCAGATATTCCCCATTTACTGCGTGAGCTCAGGTTGTGAACGGAAGTCTGGTAATGACACTCTCTTACCTGCTGGGGTCAGAAGGAGCCAGCAGAGGCCCAGCCTCATCAAGGGCAGCAGTGCAGGATGGGCAGGGCCCATGGCTTCAGAGGAGGGTCCCGGACCTCAGCAGGAGGGCAGGCCAGGCTCTGTGGGAGGTTGAACCTCAGAGCAGTTCCCCATAGGGCTGTTGCTAGCTGCGTGGTCCCCTTTTGCCAATGAACCTGAGAAAGCCCAGGAAAGGGATCTTAGGGCTGCACCTCCTTGACAGGGACACATCTTTGATCCTCACACCCCCATGAGGTATGAAAACTGAGCAAACAGCCTTCGAAGGCTTCTCAGGAGTTTAGGGCTCCTGAGTGCTTCCTGGTTTAACTGAGAAACCACCTCTTTCTCCTTCTCGGGAGCCAGCCAGCTAGCTACTCTGCCCTAAGCCAAACCCTGCCCTCCTGAACAGAGGAGGACACAGGATGGAACCGAAGTCTGCCACTGTGGCCTCAGCATCTTATCTGTAAAATGGGGATAATCACACTGCAAAGGTGGTCAGCCAAAAATATGAGTACTGGTCACAAGAGCCAGAAGGTGGAACCAGCCCGAGGGTCCATCAGCTGGGGAATGAATGACAGAAGGTGATCTATCCACACAGTGGACTGTGACTTAGCCTTGAAAAGAAACACATTACTGTTACACACGACCACATGGATGAACCTGGAAGTCACGCACAGTGAAAGAAGCCAGTGACAAAAAGCCACACCGCGTATGAGTCATTTATACAGACTGTCCACAACAGGTACATCTACGGAGACAGGAAGCAGATTAGTGGCTGGCAGGGAGAAGGCAGGAGGAATGGGGAAGTAGCTGCTTAGGGGACACTGAGTTCCCCGTTGGAGTGATGAAAATGTTCTGGAACTAGATACTGATGACGCCTGCGCCACTCTGTGGGAACTGAACATGACTCAGCACCATACTACAAAACACAGCTCTGTGACTACTAAAATGCAACCAAGTGTACCCCTTCGACGGGTGAACTTTAGGGTATGTGAACGATATCTCTTAAAAAAAAAATGCTATTTAAAAAAATTAACACTTTCAGGTGACTAAGAAGCAACCAGCTCTCTTTAGCTATCAGGAAAACAATATATGCAGGGCATGGAAAGCGAAGCTGAAAGGGTTCTAGCGACGAAAAGGACCCTGACGTCGAAGACAGCGTGAACTGCTCAGATGTCTCCTAACAGGGAAAGCACTGTTTTCATGACAATGTATTCTTTTCTATTGCGTGCACTTTAAAACAAGTCACTAGACTAATAAAATTAAATATTGTCCTAGTAAGTGTACATACTCAGGTTAGCTTTGTGTTTGTGTGTTAACCGTCCTTCTTACCGGGAGAATGCAGTGTTCTCGGTTCTGGCTCACATTGTGGTATGGCCTAGGGGGATTACAGTGACCCTCGGTATATCTCCCTTGGGGACGGTGAGAACGTTCTGGAACTAGACAGAGGTGATGACAGAACGTGGGACAGGCAGCCGCCCTCTAATGCAAGTATGTGCTTGGGCGCCGCAGCCTGACCTGGCCCAAAAGGGGGCTCAAAAGCGGCGAATCACGTAGCTTTTATTTATTTATTTTTTTAACTCTGCCTTTGGGCATGTGCACTCATCAAAGAGAAGCAGAATGAGAAAGGGAAAGTGAGAAATTACCCCCCACCAGAGGAATGGCTCCCCCACAATCCCTTCTTCTTTATTCTCCTCTCATGATTTTGGATACACACACACCACCCCTCTTTTGTTTTTCAAGCTACTGGGACCAGGACTTGAACCATGTAGTCAGCCATATGGGATTCAGGTGCCTTTACCTCCATGCCACCAGCTGGCCTGTTGCACAGACAGCATTTTGAATGTACTAAATGCCACCAGTGATAAATCCTATGTTATTGGATTTTACACTTAAAAAAAATAGAATATGAGTAAATGTGTTTTAAGAATGTAAACCACTGGGCTAGCCAGATGGCATGGAAGGGGGTCCCACGTGGCCCACTCTGCGGTTTGCATCCTGAACCCAGTGACTTGAAAGACACATGGGCACCTGTGTATGCCCAAAATCCTAATAGGGGAATGGAGAAGAGATTGTGGCATGCCCTTCCCCCCCGGGGGGAGATTAATCGTTTTCTCTCTCTCTCTAGCTCGCTGGCAAGTACATGCACTCTATAGCAAAAAAAACCAGTCTAATGAAAAATCCCAAGAGAACGAAGGAGAAGGGACTGCGATATGGCCATACCCTCTAGAAGGTGATTTTTCTCTCTCTCTCAATATATACAATATATATATATTCACAGAAGCAAATCACAGCAGCATGCCTGGGGCCTCGAGCCTTTGCAGGTGCAGGGGCCTGTCTCCTGGGGTTTCTCCCAAGCAGAATCACCACAAAGCAAACAGCACAGCTCAATTACGTCTGGAAAAGCTGTCATTGCCATCCCGCTGCTTTCTCATTTAATCTTCTTTCTCCCTTTGTACATATAGATCCTCTGTGTTATCTCCGGGTGACCAGAGGTGATTATTCCTTTTTTTTTTTTACACTTTTCTGCATACCCCGAATGTCCTACTCTAGGTGTCTTCGTTCTTTAATATCATCTCTGAGTTCGTCTCAGAGGAAGTGGGGGGGCTCACTCAAATTCCCTGTGGATTTAAGACGCTACTACCCATCGGAACGGAGTGCAGTTGTCAAAGTCAGCGGCGTAAAGGGTGAAAGCAACCAAGTTGCCGGATGAAAAAATACACAAACTGTGGTTAAAAGCATGTACAAAGGGATGTTATTCAGCCTTAGGAAGGAAGGAAATTCCCACACATGCGACCACATGGATGAACCTTGGGAACATCATGTTGGATGCAATAAGTCAATCACAGAAGGACAAATTCTGCATGATCCCCCTTATGCGAGGTACGTAGAGTACCCAGATTCATAGAGACAGAAGGAAAATGGTGGTTTCCAGGGGCTGGGGGGACTGGGGATCCAGTGTTTAAATGGGTGCAAGTTTCAGTTTAGGAAGATGAAAATATCTTGGGGATGGCTGCTGAGACAGGGGCACTGCAGGGAGAATGCCCTGGTTCAGCACCACTGACCTGTGCACTAAATGGTTAACATGGTACATTATATTACAAATATTTTGCCCCAGGACCAGCAGATAGTGTAATGGTTACATCACAATATTCCCATGTAGCTGAGCACAGTTCAAGTCCTGGACCCGGTGGCTTGAAACTCAAGCTGGGGGCGGCATGTCGCAATCCCTTCTCTTCCATTTCTCCATCCTGTTGGGATTTAGGGCCCATACGAACATATGGCTGGCAAGTTTTTAAGCCACCAGATCCAGGACTCAAATCAGCCACCAGGTCCAGGGTCAAACATGACGGAATCCAGCATGGCCACCCCTCTTGAGGCGGTGAATTCTCGCCTTTTTGTCTCTCTGTCTCTCTCTGTCTCTCTGGTAAGTGCACGTGCCCTATAGCAAAAATCTCTCAAAAAAAAATATTTTGCCCCAATAAAACAAAGAGTGGGAGAGGGGGAGAGAAAAAGTCAGCTGTGTTCATGTGGAGTCATATTAGGGCTGAGGCAAACATGAGACCAGAAAGTGGGGTCCGGGTATCTGAACCCCTCCTGTTAGGGCAAAGGTTGACTGACAGAAAATCCCTATCTGAGCTCAGCCCTCCTGTTAGGGCAAAGGTTGACTGACAGAGAAAAGCAGAAAATCCCGTTCTGAGCTCACTCCTGGAGGGTGAAGATGTGGCTTAGCCACTGTTTCTCTCCAGCCCCAGGCATCGCCCCAGCTCACTCTGTGAGTTCTAGGAATGAGGAGCCTCCTAAAGTCATTCCGGAGAGAAAGCGGGCTCTGAGAGCATCTACGGAGGACAACCAAGGCTTGCCACCTACTCTAGGAACTAAGACTTTGTCAGACATTTGCTCCCACAGTCGGATGGTTTGCTCCTTAGTCATTACCTTCCCTCACCTCATCCTTGATCCAGGCCAGTGTGCCAGGCATTCAGGACAGAGGACTGAGCACAGGTGGTCCTGAATGGGACAGAGTGGGGAAGAACCAAAGAAATGAAGCTCTAGTCTCACCCGTTTATTCCTCCCTGTTGTGAGGCAAGACTTCATTCACCTAGTTCTACTAGTTTCAAGAGTCATCCAGAAATGTCTCAAGTTCCTTTCCCCGCTCTTTATAACTCCCCAGAATGGGAAGTTCTTCCCTGAGTCTGATTCTGTGTAAGCATCAGAGAGATGTTTAAGTTGACTTGAGCTGAAAGAACCTGTCTTGCTAGCCGACACTAAATTTCATTAACACCCAGGAGTAGCTGCTGAGCAGTTGCAGTTTTCATCTGTGCTCTTGGACCCATTCAAACATCTGGCGATCACAGAGCTACCTTTCTGGTTCCTTTGCTCGCATTCATCCTCTCTACCCCAAGTACCTCAAGTGTTTCATGCCCTCCTAATACACCTGTGGATGCCCGTGACTTAAATATCACCTCGCCTGCCCTATCACCACCACCTGAAAGTTTTGTCTGCTTGTTAGAATGAAGAGAAGCTATAAAATTTAATCTGTTTATGTCTCCATTTCCGAGGCATGAAGACACACGGCTCTTGGTTTTTGTTAGATGTCAGAAAATGGGGCTAAGTGCAAGGAAGAGGATTGCAAGATTTCCTTAGATGTGAACTCCTAGAAAGTCTTCTAAGGACAACTCACATTGGGGTCATTTTCAGGTTTATAAGGCACTTTTGCACCCCTGCCCTCATTTGGGTTTCATGTCACCTCTAGGTGGAGGTGGGGAAGAGATATTATAATCTCTTTTTTTTTTTTAAAGAATTTTTTGAACTTTATTTTTATTTATTTATGTATGTATTTATTTTAATTTGACCAGAGAGGGACAGAGAGAGAGAGAAAGAGGGAAAGTGAGAAAGCAAGCTTCCAGGTCCAGGACTTGAACCGCCATCAGCCATGTGGGAGTCCAGAGCTCTTAACCACCATGCCACCTGCCAGCCCCTGTAATCCCTGACATAAATTTTTTAAAAAATAGGTACTAAGAGAAGTTGACTGACTGGCCCCAGGTCACATAGTGACAGAGGGGTAAAGCTAGGTCAAGTTCAGGTCTTTGACTTCTAAAGTACAATGTGGCAAAGTGCTGCCCAGTGGCACTGCCTTGGAGGGCGATTTCGTATGGACGTCTCCGCT